GACATCATTATGTTATTATACTGCCTATACTTTGACTGCTTAGGTGTAAATTTCTGTCCTAAATATCCTATTAGTGACCACCAAAGTTTCTGTTTTTGGTAGAGACTTGTGTCCCTATTTTTTCGATGACAATATGAGGGATGCTAATACAATCGAACCAGGATACGCGACAAACGTCTATAAGAGAGATTCATTCTGCGGTCCAAACGGACGACGTTCATAAACAAGAAAAATGTCGCGGTCTCTTGGATCTCACTTATCCAGATTCGTCTGTATGTCCATTCCAGTTTCGCTTCTGTGAAAAGCCAAAGTTATGTATTGAACTAGTAAATTTCATACCCAAATAATATGGCGCATGTGCCAGTAGTCTGAATACCGGCGTTGAAGAGCAGCTTGGGTCCGATGCGGTTGAGGTGTGCGCCGTACAGCGGGCTCACCAGGAATACCACCAACTCGAACACGCCGAACACCAGCCCGAATTCCGTTGCTGAACATCCTTTCTTCTCTGCCTGCGTGAACACAGAATACAATTAGCTGTAGTTTTATTGCAAATATGTCGTCTTCAATAATCAAATCCAAACCAAACTGCCAAGAATTTTCTTTTAATTTTAATGAGCGTTGTCATACTGTATGAGAGTGTATAAAAATATTTTCATACTTAAAGGAAAAAATACAAAAGGATGGAATGAAAGTCAAATAAAATCGCTGTTGCCGGCGACTCTTTTTTTTATAACAGAAGGGGGCAAACGAGCAGCGGGAGCACCGAGGCACATTCCGCGCGGAATTAAAAAAAAACTGTGTTCTTCCAGACTATGTTCTACATCCATCCCAAAATTCATCGTGATCCGTTGAGCTGTTCTGGAGATAACTACAAACTAACATCCATCCATCCAACCATCTATACATCTAAACTTTCGCATTTATAATATTAGTACCTATCTTACAGGTATCTTATCTTACTACCTATGTTCATACACTCGTCATTTTACTTTATTCGTCACTTAATAATTATAAGATGAACAAAAACTTGGTAAATATCAGGAAAAATTGAAGCATTTTAATTGGTTTTCTGTATGTATTTTTACTTAAATCGATATGTTTTACCGGTTAAAGGTTATCACAATTAACGGCGACAGAGCTGTAACGCGTAGTCTAAATTACGCACTGAGATGCGTGCGATGCGTTGCAGACAACACGGGTACAAAAACATAACACGCGCGGGTAACGTGAGACTCCTTTCTGAGTTGAATTACAAGCATTCATAGACGTCGATGATGAGAAAAAGTAACTCTGAAGAAATTTTATCCTTTAAAACAGATTTTCAATCTGTGGGTCGCAGATATTATTTCGTCAACCACCCCAAGCATTACGTTATGATGGGGTAGCCAAAAATTACGTACTAAGGTCATCATATAAAAGAAAATAGTACATCTAGTTTTACTTACTAATAAATGAAACATATTTAAAAGAAGCAGCTTATCAAATTTATCTGATCTTTGAACTGGACAAACCGAATTTATATCGATAATTAGATTTTTTATACCGCATTAATTTGTAAGTTCAAGTGTCTCGTATGATTAAGTAATTTTACGACTGCGTATATTTAAACAATCAAAAAAAAGTTGATAACTCTCAAATAAATGTTAATGACCTTCTATATGTCAGTCTGATCACTTTGTCAGTATGTTAGAAGCTTATCGAGGATAGTAACAACGGCTATCTTAAAGATTTGTAAATTTCTAAGCATTCTCCATTGTGTCATATCATTTATTAAGTAACTAGTAGTCGCGCGCGGCTCTGTCCTCTCGGAGCTAAAAAATACATAATTAGTAGCATATGTGTTCTTCCAGACTAAGTCATTATTCAGCGAGTAATACATAATTTCAGCGAGATCCATACAGTCGTTCTCGAGATACTATCAAACAAACATCCATCCATCCCTCCAAACATTCGCATTTATTATATAATATTAGTGAGATTACTAATTGCTACAGACTAAGAGACGAAGACGCGCAATTTCACAAGTCGCTGCGCATAACGCAATTTAAATTATCAGCGGGACGTGGTAACAACAATACTCACGCTCGAAACCGAGAGAGGTAAGCAGAGAACGGAAAACTATACATAAAATGAAAAGACAACATGAAGAACATCAAATTGTTCACATAAAGCAAATGACATAATGTTAAATAATAAAATGTAATGATTAATACCAGTCGTTAAGTTAAGGGCGCCTAGTAATTCTATTGTGAAGCTGTGATAAGATGTGACACTGTCGTCGGGTTATCACTTATTGTTGGCTGTTGTCGGCGCAGAGTGAGTAAGGCCTAGGGACATGTGTCACGACAGTTGAAATTCACAGTATGACTGTTTATACGTAGTTACAAATCAACCTCAGCTAACACCAAGTCTAAAGTAACAATAAAGATACAAGAGAAAAGAGGACTTTCTCTACGCGATTATTACGTCCCTTTTTAGTGTGTGTTTCTTTAAAATCGGTAGCTTTAAATTGAAAATGGCGTTATAAAACATTAATCTCGGTAAAATATTGTCGAAAACTCTTTATTTGCGCAGTCTGAATATGTATGAATTATCATAAATGTATTATTCAATACAAAAAATTATGTAATTATTACAATAATAAACTAAAGAAGTATTTAATGTTACAAATATATTTGTGGCTTAATTTGAGGTTAACAGATATAAATTTCAACGTTGACGTAGATATCTTGCTGCGCTTGCGCACTCAAATAATATGTTCACAATTGTCAGTTTACAGTTTTTAGACTTAGTAACATTGTCACTGAATTCCCCAATTGGTTTGTAATATAGTAAAATTATGTCTTGAATACTAGTGAGCAGAATTAGGTGTCCCTTTGGTTTTTTGTGCCAGTTGATGGCTAAATATGGCTAAAAATTATGGATTTACTAATAGGCTAATTCAGGGTTATTACATGATCACTTAAGCAGTTCCTTAGAATAGATTTCTCAGATTAACTCTACACTAAAGGTCTGCCTTAAAACTTTGTAACAAAGTAAAAAATCAAAGTACGGCAATAGATAAATATAATATTAATTGCAATAGATGCACACTAACACGTGACAGACTTCTAGGCATCAGTAATTTACATATCTTATCTTTTATAAGAAACTTTCACTTTTAATATAATTTATATTATATATTTTGTTTATATAAAATTAATTAAACAATTAGATAAGCAGTTAATTCAACTTTAAGCTACATAGTTACTAGATTTCATAATTATAAATATCTCTTAGTTGTCGTAAATTATATTCAAATTTTGAATAATGGATTATTCGAAATTTGAACATAATTTATAATGAGTTTTTTTTTTAATTAAAAATATTTTTATGCACATTTCACGTTCATCTTATCGAGCAATTTTTTTCAAAAATTGTATGTTTTTTTTTACTTATTAAAATTATATAAATACATTGATTTTGTGAAAAATTGTTTTAATAAATAAAATAATATTCAACGCTAATAGAAACACTTCTGTATAATTAATTAGTATAGTAGACTGTCAATAAAAAGGCAACGACTAAAAGTTCTAGAGACTAAAAGACTATTACCGACAAAATTCTACAATGTTACCAACTTTTAATTTATATTTACTTCTTTTTTCGAATTTTCGTTGCGGTAAAGAAATATAATACGGATTTATTTTCACGTATAAGTTAATAAAGATGGGATAAAATTATGTACAGAAATATTATTTTCATAGTCATTAATACATACCTCTTGTGGGTAAAACGGTGCCTGCAATGCAACACACAAAGCATTACAGAAATCTGCTATTGATATAACCACAATTATCAACCATTGTCTTCTAGAAAAATCGAAACCCATTCTCAAAAGTTATCCACTACTCCAAAAAAGTAGTTATAAATATAATTTAAAAGTTGTAAATTACAATGAACTTGTCACAGAATTTTTATTGCGTATTCGTCCTCGGAACTGGTGTTCTATTCCAGAGGCGGGTACGTAACTGATGTGAAGCTTCGAGCAGAGGGTAAGTAATTACATTTTGTTTATAACAAACCTATTACACAGAATTGTAAGTGATAAACACTGCTTTATCGGATTGCACGCAGTACATTAATGGTTGCCTACAATTTATATTTGTTTTATGCGAATGTAGCCACCAATGTAAATGAAAATGAAGTTAGTTATTTCTGATTGACCTTTGTTCCAGTCTCTCATTAAATCAGTGACGTGTGAAGAAGTATTGACCGATCGAAAGATAAGAATGTTTTATAGTAAAGCGATTTTAAAAACGTACTCATTGAATTGCTAGTTTTTAATTGTTCTTATCAGTAAACAATGGATGTTGTTTATTAATATTGTGATAGGTAATCAAGTCCCTGATTGATGGGGCCTACGTATATATATATATATATACTCGTATAAAGTTTATAAAAAAATAGCTTTAAAAACAGTTTGTTTAGATTTGATAATTAGAATGTTTGTTTTGCAAGCTTTGCTCTGTTCTAAACTGCGAAACCTATGTTAGAAACTTGTTATCAAATCGAGTAAAATAAACATTTTGTCTATAAACAATATAAATTAGCAAATAAATTATTATTATTTAAATAATCGCACGTTTAAAAGTAATTGTTATTTGAAAGAATGCAAGACAAGGAAGTCGTAACATGGATTGTATTGATATTGCATTTGTTTATGCCCTCATTGTTCCGAGAATCTTCATGGTATCAGGTGACATAAGGAAAATTAGTAGACGCGTAGAGCATGAAGCACTAACAACTACCCGCCTCTACGGACACGTGCTATTTGTATATATGTCACCTGTAAATCATGAATCGCTCTTTAGTAATTTGCCTAACAAAATTTAAACAAAATGTAAACTCTGCCAATAGGAATTGGCAGAGTTTACATTTTGTCTGTCATTCTGTCAAAGAGTCGAGGATTGGTGAGCTGATTGTAACTGCTAATGCCACGTGCCATCTTAACAAATTACCGAAACATAACACGGCGTTTTGTCAATTAATTCTTTCGAAATGCAAATAGCTGAGTCATTACCGATTGTCCGGGCAAAGTATAAACGGGCGACATTCAAGATTTTCCGGTGACAAATACACCGACTGCGAAGTGGGGTAACCGCACGGGGATGTCGAAAATATCGCCCGAATATAACACATTGGTCACTTGCTTTCACTTCAAAGTACAGAGCGGGCCACGACGCCCAACGAACTGCGACGCGTCTATTCATATCCGAGGTTGTACTACAACGGACGCGGGAATTTAAAAAATATTCCATCAACTAAATTAAATATTAAAAAAAATCGATAACGAAAGATTTTAAAAAGTGTAATTTGTGTTTGAAGAAAGAACAAAATTAATTTTAAATTTACTACAATTTGCGATCTGTTTTTTCCAAAAAAGAAATGAAAATGGCCGATCGTTGCGTTAAATTCCTCTTAATATTTTGTTTGACGATTATTTGCCACAATGGAGAAGCTGCGGAAAATGAGAAACCAAAGCTGCGTGAGTATTTCTTTCTTTTGAAAATAATACCATTTATTTAAAAGTTGGGCTCATATTTTAGATATAATAAATGTAAAAATCATTGAAAGTTATTTGTAAAAATAACATTTCTAATTACACGGTTAAATATTTTTTTACAACAAACACGTCAATAAATATAAAAAAAATTATCGGACTTTTTAATTCAAACAGACCTATCATATCTTAAAAATCAGCATTAGCGTTAACAGAGGACACTTATTTTATGGATAAATTTAACAAGAAATATTAAAGTTTGAATTACTAAAGCATTTCACTCGAAAATTCGTAACTAAGTTTCAAGACTTAGGTCTAAAAACAGCGAAATAAAATCATTAGTGCATTTCACAATCGTTATTTTATGCTTTATTCTATTTAGTATCGATAAATTCATCGAGATAATTGTTTACAGTCTCAGTTAGATACTATCTGTCGCCTAGTGATGGCGAAACATTTCTCTCGGTTTAGCAACGCTTACAATAATGACGAAAATGCCTAACCTTTGCCTTATTATGCTGTAGCAAAATTAACATGTATTATATTTTTACAATAGATTCTTGTAAAATTTTCTGACATTTATAGTTCGGCAAAATATTCGCAATTACAAGGTGACATAATTTTATCTTTTTAATTGACAAGCTTTTATGCTCCTGTCAATCAGTCTTTATATATTATGTTGCTTCTTACTAATAATTTAAATACGGATGTTCGGATGTATGGATGCATGTTTGTTAGATGATATTTCCATAACGGTTGCATGGTTCTCGCTGAAATCTGGTATAGATGTAGAACATAGTCTGGGAGAATAGGGACGGAACTGCGGGCGACAGATAGTATAAAATAAAGCAGTTTTTCTCCATGATATATTGTGTTTTTTTGCCGTCGACTGATCTTCCATCTTTATTATTCTTTAAAACAGCAAAGATTGTTCGTAGTTTAAAAGTTCCTCGTATATTCCAATGTTGCAGCCCGAAGCTGTGATGTGAATAAAAAATTATTACATCTGCATGTTTTTCTGTGGACTTGTCTGCGTCTAGTCATTCGTGCCAAGGCCACTTTCGGCTGTTATAAGTCCCTTCCGGCGATGAAATCCCATAACAAATTACAAGTGTTTGAAAAACATTTTTTATTTCATACTAGCTGTCGCCCGCGACTCCATCCGCGTGGATATATAAAAAACTTAATTAGTGTAGCCCACCCATCCATCCATCCACATCACATCCATCTAAACATTCGCATTTATAATATTAGTAAGTTAAATAAAAAGCAACTCTTCAAGACATAAATTTGAAAAAAAAAATGAATAAATAGTATCCTATGTCCGTCTCCTGGCTCTAAGTTACCTCCTCGTCAATTTTCAGCAATATCGGTAAAGCCGTTCTTGAGATATATATAGTGTAACTAACACGAATTTCTTTTATATATTTATTGTAAAATATGTAAAAGTGTTAACATTGAAAGCTCTGTAGTGTTTTACGTAGGTTATCATAGTATAATAATTGTACCACGATAAATATCCTCTATTAACCAAAACATAAACGGATTCATCGGTCTACTTCATATATTCACCGCATGTATTATAATTAAGTCCTTTAGTTTGCACAGTCGGACTGGTCGATAAAAACGAACGATTCTAGAAAAATACTGAGAACTGTACTGTTTAACTGGCTAAACTTTTACTGAACAATTCGACCACTGTTCAGTTGAAACTGAATATGTTTAGTCGGCTTGAACTACGTAACTGATTTTCTGATTATCTTTTAATTTGAAAGACCATTAACTTGATTATGACGACATTGAAAAAGTTAAATTTTTATGGGAAAGTAAAATTGTCTATGGTTGGATGTTTGTTAGAAGATGTCTTCGTAACGGCTAAATGGACTTGATGAAATTTGGCAGAGATGTAGAACATATTTTGGAAGTACACGTACGGTACTTTTTAATTTTTTTTAAATTCCGCGCGATCACAATCTCGGGCGACAGTTAGTATGTATGTAGATTTAACTCGATGTTTAATAGCGTTTAAAACAGGACTAAGATTTTAATGGTAAAAAGCAAACAATATAATATTGAACTAAAGTTTTCCTTGTTTGGTGATGTGGAAGGTTAAAAAGTTTTCAATGTCACTTATTGTTTAAGTGCATTTATTCCGACAAAAGTCTGTTTATTCAGAATATATTTGAATGGGTTTAAAAATTTTATTTTAACTTACATTTAACCTATACTTTAGTTTTAACACAAATTGTTTCGTTTTTATTTGTAGCCGGCAAATCGCTAGACACTTTTTTGCATTAGTGTTTGCGATAACTACAACCCATTGTAATGGGGAATTGTAATTCTTTCTTAAATTATAAAATATTTTTGATTATAAAAAATTACGCCAATGCATTATAAATATCTTAACAAGGGTAAAAATGACAAATGTTACAATGTACGTATAATTTAATACTAAAAAGTCGCCAACAGGAAAACATTTTTAACACAATTTAAATATGTAAAATTTCCATTTCGACCTGTTTCTCAATGTGTGATATTTATAAAAAAAATTGTCTGCTGAAAAAGTTAATTATACAAAGATACTGTGAGTTTTTTTGCTTTTTTTATTTAGTATGTACTACATCACGGATACTAAATAAGTTATTATTCGTTTTATTTTCACTAATAACATTTTACCGATATTACTAGACTTAAGAAGTAGGAATATAACTTTTTAACTGATTTTTTTCTTTTTGTAACCGATTTACTAGAAGACAATGGTGACACACATTGTGGTCTAAGCCTGTACTTATTAAAGATAATTTTCAAATAAACTTGACGTTTGTAAAATCAATCAGGAAAATATATTTTTTTAACCGCAACTGATGACGAATCAATCGTTTAACTTAAACAAAACAATCGCGTAGCAATAAAAGTCGTCACTCAATTCTTTTTAAAGGAGTTATTGTCTCTGACTAATCCTCGCTTTGAAACATTGCGGAAAACCGCCCAGTGTGGTTCAAACCTTATTTCTCTTTGTCTTCTTATCCATACAATTAAATAAAAAAATGTTATAAAATATTTATTTCATATTCCATGCGCATCATGTATGTGCGTAACTCATAAATAAAAAAAAACTAAATCTTGGTCTGACTGGTATGTCCATAAGTACGCGTTTGTTCCTGGAATTCACCAAAACGGCTAGATCAATATTGACGGAAACGATAGTGCTCGCGCGCGTTAACCGAGCGGGATAGTGAAAATGTTTTAAACGTGCGCATATTTAAGATTTTGCGAACTACAATGGCACACAAAGTCATAACGCACATTTTCTGTAGAAAGACACTGTTTACAAATCACAAATCTGACTCAACGAGCTAAATAAATCACAATAACTAGATTACTTTTATTATCCTTGTGGTTATTAAGGAATAAGTACGATTAAAACAATGGGTCGTGAATTTTAATAGGCAAGGCTATGACTAGTACCTCCTTGAAGTTCCGTAGCTGTTTAATTTACGAGCGGACTATGTTGCTTGTATTGAATAATATATTGCGTGCTGGTGTTTGTTGACCGGTCCAGCCTTACCTGTCCTTAATGTCACCGAATACGTGACATGCATGAAGTAGACTACGCCTACGATTGGCACATCCAATGCCCAAACACAATCACGAAAACTCAACATCGGCATTGACCCAACAATTGGTCCAAGTGGGAAAACCGTTGTGTACAAAACAGCGGTGTTATGCTAGCATGCGTTATATAACGTTATTTAACACTGCAAATATTGTTATAGTTCGTAGTTACGATCATTTTAAATGCTAATAACATTTTAATCATCGGTCGTTGTATTGAGTAAGTATAATACTTCCACGCCAAAAGAAGTAAGCAGAGTTTTAAATTCGACGGTTTATCGGGTTTTAGATTACGGGAAGAGGGTAAGGAGAGTTTTATAAATAAAAAAGCCTTGGATTTTGCTTTTATTATTTTCAAAATAATCAAAATTTATATTGTTCAGTAAAAAAAGTAAGTAATTCGTTGTTATTTATGTATGAAAGACACGTTTAACATCTAAGATATAACTAGCCGGTCTATCACTATTTCCAAATCATCTTAAATTGTCAAGAGACTTGTCTGACGAATACGCAATTTCTTCCTCCGGAGCCTTGACATCGGCTCGCGTTGCGTCAGCTCTTTGCGAAATTGTTTTACGAAGTATCGTCACGCTTGCGATCCTACGCCCTTTTTTAGCGATAAATTCGAACATTCATGTTGACATGATGTCTTATGATGGTTTTGACTTGCGGCGAAATTTAGTAACACCAAAGGAAAAACGTAAACATGTACCCGAAAAACAATGTGACGGCAATCTAATCCTAACGTAACCCTTTATAATCTGTTGACAGTCATAAACGTCTACCAATAACTTTACTTTAAGATAAACGTAAAAAATCAAAAAGCGTAGACTAAATAACTGTTTTAATATCTGATATCTTAATTGCCGACATTTACAATCTTAATATGTATCTCAATTACAACAATTTTATAATTTCTCATTTAAAAATTTAGCACATAATAATTTCTTGAACTTGAACGAACATCGTAGCAAACGAGCGTTTCTCGTACAAGGTCACATCACATAACTCGCTTACATAATCCACAAAGTGGTCGCAACTTGTAGACCCACTTTAAAATTTGTTTTCTTATCAACGGAACAAAGTTTCGCGGTGACATTCGATTCTCGACCAAGATTCTTTAGAATATTTAAATTGTTAATCTAGAAACTGATATGTCGCAATATACAATTTTAATCTGTTATACCTTCCTCATCTGGGGTAATATATATAAAATGTGTATCAAGTAATGAGGCAATAAGCCCAACAACCAAAAAATTAAATATTAACTCTATGACACCACTATGACACACCAAGGTATATTTGTATCGAATACAACGCTCGACTTTAACATGCAATCATTACAGGAGGTATTGTGAAATAAAAAAATAGTTACATGAAGACAGCAAAAGATACGAAAGCTTTTATAAAAACTAAAGTGTTGCAACTATTGTTATAAGGCAAGACATTTGATAAGTAAAGGTTTGTTTTCGAGATGACCCTTTGCTTTACCAACAATAGATTGCCGATGCAATATACATATTTATTATGTAATGTAATGAAACATTCATCAATTTGGCACACAATGTTTTAAAGTGGTTACAAGATTATGTTAAGTTACATTAAGGAGAAATAGCTTTCAGAAGAAATGTCGCCACACTAAATTATTACAAAAATCTGTTATTTATGAACAAATAAAACGATTTATTTTAGAACATAGTTCAGATAAGCTTTTAATAAAGAAGTATCGTGAAATATGATTTTTGTTATATTATAAATAGATTTAAAGGTTAAGTAATGTTAACCATCTTTAAAATAATTATATAAACACTATTTGGCAATGCTTTTAACAAAATGAAGGTGAAAATGAACATATTTAAATATTTGATATTATGACAATGACCTTATAATAATGCCTACAAGGATGGATTTAATTTAAACTAATTAACACTGTGTGTAAAAATTAAAATGCGTTAATTTTTGTTCCACTTATTTACCAAACAGGAATCAACTTCATCTCCCTATCTTATCTCATACCTTAATATATGCGTATCTTTTTACAGCGGACTATCTTCCATCATGCAAACGAAGTGACCCCGAGCTGGACACATGTATCAAGAACTCGTTCAACAGTCTGCGGCCTCACCTGGCTCGTGGTCTCACAGACCTAGGCGTGCCCCCAGTGGAGCCACTGCTCATTGACCGACTAGTCATGGAGAACTCCGCGGGACCCGTAAGGGTCACGGCTGCTTTCAGTAACATAACTGTCATCGGACCCAGTAACTACACAGTCACCAAGATCAGGTCGGTACATCTACAGATGTAATTAAGTTCTACAGTATTGTAGTTTGTTAGGCGTCGTGTTTGTATCAACATCATAAATTCTTTACTTTTTAATTCCAAAAAATAATGCAATGTCAGAAATATCTTTGAGACATTCGACAAGATTTTATGACTGTTGTTTACGTCACCAACTTATACACTCATTGGTTCAACTAAATTTGGAGCTTAGCCTAGATTAGGGATACATATTGTGGTTTGGTTTACTACGTATTTTTTTAATTTCTTCGCCTCAGAAATATAGAGGCTTCCCGAACTTTTTCTGCGACTTGTTGATAACAACAGTGTTATTCACAATAAGACACCTTTAAATATTTTTACTTTAAACCTTTTTATGTTACATTTCAGGTCTGATTTAAAAAAGATGCGAATCGACATGGGCTTGGCATTGCCGCGGATTGAGGTGTCCGGCCACTATGAAGTCTCCGGTCAAGTTCTGCTGTTTCCAGTACGATCACAAGGCAACTTCTGGGCTGCTTTCAGTTAGTTTAATATATTTTTTACCACACTAAATTGTGATATTTTTTAAATATGGCACATAACTGTTTGTCGTTATAAAGTGTACATAGGAAAGAAACAATTTAAATAAAAAGATGTTGCAGGTACTAATTAATTATTTTAAAATTCTTTTGAACTTAAAATGTGTTTTTCTTATTTCAGTCGATGTAGCAGCGATTGCTAAAATTTATGGAAAGGAGATTGAACGCGACAACGAAAAATACATGTCTATCGAAAGATTACTGGTGGATTTCAAGCTTAAAAATTCTCGTTTTAAAGTACGAGACACTGTCAACCATGGTAGTGTTATTGGTAAGTATTAATTCTAAAAAATAGTACATATTTATGAAAAACGCCATGAGATAATCAACAAGATTTTTATGACCGTTGTTTAGGTTACCAACTTACACACCCAATGGTTTGACTAAATTTACCATACATTATTAGAATTTTTTTTGCAATAACATGCTTAATATTTCTGAGAAGAGACTATTACAATAGTTGCGTTTTATAACTTAAAAGTTTAAGAGCCTTGTTAACGAATTTTTTGGACATAGATGGACAACAATTTGACCAAAAAAAAATGACTTTCTAGTTAATTCTCCTCTGTTAGTTTACGAGAAAACAGACTTAAGAAGAAAACTTGCATAATTGTTTGTATAATTACAGGTGAGGCGATGAATCAATTCTTGAACAACAATGCACCAGAAATTATAGAAGAAATGAGACCTGCCGCATCGCTGGCAATTGCTAAACATTTCCAGACATTCCTCAATGCTGCTTTCAATAAGATCCCGATAAACCTTTGGCTTCAGCCTTAAAGAGTATAATTGTACGGATATATTTAATCAGTGATAGATATTTTTAGAATAAGTGAGTATTTTGGTATAATTTTGCGGATCGTGGTTCAACCACTATTTAAGCTGTGATCGTTGTATTTCTCTTGTTTGTTTGCTTTATTTTGTCAAACGATTTGTGTTCTTACTCCAGAATGCTATTATTATTTATTTTTAATGCATTTGTATGTTTTTTATTTAGTTAATAATCATCCATAATGCATTTTAAATCTTTTGGTATGATGTAACGTGAATTGTGTGTTAGTAGTAATTATTTATTTAAGTTCAAAGTGAATTTTTCATGAAGTACATATTTTAATTTAGCTATTTAATATACCAATGAATCGAAATATGTGTTATTATTGTAAGTAAAATAGCCCTTAATACAACAAAAAATAAAAACCTCAGTTCGTAAATCTTAGTGTTAACAACAATAAAAAGAAAAGTACTACAATTATTAAAAGACGAGGCAAATAAATAAATTATTTAATTAATTTAAAAGCTAAAGGTAATATACACAATAGTTTATAAATTCACCACATATGCAAATACTTATTGCCGTCTCTTTCATTCTTCGAAAACATAGTTAAATATGCTTCCTGATACTTATTGTAAGAGAAATTACATTTATACTATCTTAAGAATATATCATTTGCATTTAATGTACCAAAAGCATGATCAGCTAACGGCTTCAAGAAGTCTCGAAGCGCTTCTTCCATCGGCTCTTGAAATTCCTTCGCCAACTTCTGCCAGTTCTCATTGAGGAACGCATTCATTGTATTACCTGTTCCAAATTTAAATACCAATTAATGATTTATAAATTCCATAGTGCTTCCAATTGCCTTACGGTCAAGAATGCGAAACATTGATTTTGTGGTCATTGATTCGAATCCCATTTTGCAGTTATTGTAAACAAAGCTCGTTTAATTATAAGATATGTTAGTAAATTTTTGCAATAGTCTACTAATGTTCCGATTACTTTTTTTTAGGCTTTGAATATGACATTTACTTACCCAATTCGTTATCACCATCGAATAGATTCGCCAGGTTTATAGAGGCGGATCCTACGTCAAATTTGACATCGAGTTTTTCACAGGCGATTGCGTCAACACCGTTCTCACGATGTAATCTTCCCAAAGCGATCGTCAGTACTGCATGGATGTCACCTATGTATTACACTGAATTAGTTTTATGGTGGTTATTTAAATATATAGACTTTGACTCTCAGAATACTTCGATGGATTAAAACGAACGTATAACTAAGCGAGAGGTATAATTAAGGGGATATGGCCTTACCATATTTAGCTGAAAAATTGCCATCTCCTTCTACAGGTAACAAAAGAAGTTTTCCAGATAGATTATAATGTCCTTTCATTCTCAGTTCGGGTATAAACAGCTTGGCTATTACTTCGTGCTTTGATGAGTTGACTCTGTAAATGCACCAAAGTAAACCTATATTATGTAGTGGCCAGTGGGCCAAGGAAAATAATTTTAATTACATTCAAACAAAAAAAACTTACTCGACATTAGTGATCTTCATGCTGGCTGGTCCTTTGACAGAAACATTGGTGTAAGTAGATGAAATAGAAATCGGCCCAGCTGATTGCTGAATCGTTAATGTTGGAATCATCAGAGGCTCGCAGGGAGGAATTCCATATTTTGGTAGCCCTGGAATATACAACTCAGTTACATTTTCAACATCATCTCACTATACGTCCCCACCGAGGAGCTCGGAGCCTAAGTTAAGTTAAGTGTGATTAGGCCGTAGTCAACCACGCTGGCCAAGTGCGGGTTGGTTGACTCCACACGTATCTATGAATTTCGTCTCAGATATGTGCAGGTTGCATCACGATGTTTTCCTTCATCGTAAGAACGTCGGATAAATGTACATATGTAAATTGGAAATCGAAAAACACATTATCATCAGACTTACCAGTAGCCAGTTCAGGTATATAAACGTTTAGCGCGTCCTTCAAGCACTCTGATAACGCTTCTTCTTCTCGTGGACACATAAATCCACCGACTGAAAAGATCAATCATTAATATGAAATTAAGAAATAATCCTGTAAATATATAGATTTTGACTAAATACTTACAATTAATATAAGATTCATCGCCACCATAACATGTATTAAGAACAGCTAATAAACACATAAACTTCCACATTATTAAAAACAACTGATTCTCTCATATATAACACTCTCATATGTAAACGTACATCAAATGAAATGTATAATATAATTATTATTTTTTTATTTAAATAGTCATTTCCAAACGTGCTAATGTTCATAAAGATATATTTATCTTGATAATTTATCTCACGTTCATTAAACGCGATCTAAGTAAATGATATTTCATTATGCAATACAATATTATCAAGTTGATATAAGGAAAACTGCATCAGAGCGTTGCATTAGTTACTTTCTTGTTACACTTAAAATTATTAAGTAAGTTTAACAGTGGTAGAGCCCGCTTTAACATTTTCGCACGAATCAGCCCGGCTCGCCTGGTGCAATACCACGACCACACAGGAGACAGGCGTGAAGTGGAAGCAATTCCACGTTTCGTCTGATGAGTGTGCGTCCCGGAGGCCTAATTTAGTCCACTTTCCCTTCCCACCCTTTTTCTCATAAGGAAAGGATGGGAAGTGGAAGTGGACTTTCCGGATGAGAGGATGCATGGAAAGGGAAAATATTTTCTCTCTGTGCATCCTCTCTTAGATATAACAGATTTACTACTTAAGGGTCGTATGAACCCTGTCTCTTAAGAGAAACTAGTAAGTAATTTTTATCATTTTCGGCGGCTAATATCTCAACAGGTCTGTCAAAGTTAAGCCCGACCGTATCTCTCAGGCTTGTCCAAAAATATTTGTTTCGATCTAATTTTCCTATGAACGTTTTAAATCAAAAAAATATATACTGTGACCTCCGTTACCTTAGTAAGTACGGAACGATCTCATTCTACGTAATGATATCTTACATCATCAATTTCGCGTTCATTAGGGACTAGAGCAAAAACCACTGACATTTTATTCAATATTGCAAAACCTTAGGGTTAATAAACTTATTGACAAACAGATTTGTATTATAATCAAAAATACTCTAATGAAAGAAATAATGATAAATACTAAATATTGGTCAATCAAATATATTCAAACAATCATTTACATAATTAGATGTGTGCTTTTGTTAATAAAAAATGACTGTGACAGTGCAATGTGCACCTTTTATAATGTCGTCAGATATTCGACCTAGAAATGAATTATTTAAACAAAAATAAACTTTCTTTCAATGTGTTTAAGTTGTAAATTGATCGTATTCATTAGTTGCAATGTTGTAAGTCGATGACGTAAGACAGGCCTGCAGGCACAGATGCGGGGCTGTCGCCGCGGCACGCTGGCATACTTTCTTGAAATGACACTCCATTGACATAGTCAGCTGTTGTGACAGTGTTTACATATTACGTTGGGCTTATTGATGTATGTCAACCTTTTTGGTTAAACGTCCTTGACCCTACATGACCCATTCTTTTGTAATTTACCTGAATGTAATTAACCTATGAGAACTTTTTGTTGCATTTATTCGATATAGGAGAAGTTAAGGAAGACAACAGAAATTAAATATAAATAATTTATTTTAAATATATCATACAACATTTACAACAATATAAATTAATAAATTACATTTTAATAATCGAATTATATAACACGGAATAGATTTTTTTTTTTAATTTGGGAAAACCATGTTAGATGGGATACGTTTGAGGAATTTGTTGGCGATATCTTCTAGGACCATCGCGAGCGCTGTCTCAACAGCCGGCTGTACTTCTTTAGCTATCTCTGAAGAGTGCATTCCGATTAGATGACTTGTTATCATTTCTGAAAAACACAAAATATTATATTCATAACTCCATGTGGTAACATCTGACGTTTATCCAGAATTAACGGGATTATTCGGTAATAAGTATGAAGCTATTTCTATTATATATTCTTACCCATTTCATGTGTTGTGGAGTGTGCCTCCATGAGGTCAGCGCTCAATTGTCCAGCACATTTCAGCTTGACGTTGGCATCGCGGACCACTATTCTTTTATGAACTTTAGCACCGACCGCTTCTAAAGCCGCCGTACACAGAGCTGCAAATTATACGTAGGTTTTTTTACGTTTGATAAGCCAGTGCTTGACCACGATCCCACCTGGTGTTAATGGAGATTTGGTCGAAAGATGATACGCGCTAGCTTAGTGTAGCTATTATTTTTAATTATACAGAAATTCTAGATTGTTAATACATATCTCTAGTAGCAGGCAGGCAACGCATCTGCACCTTTTCACTGATAGTAAATGTGTGTGGCGGTCATTACTTTAAAATAGCGATATCAGCTAGTCGCTTGTCTTTCACTAATAATGTGTTGCATAAAGAAAAAACTATCTTACTGAAGTTAGCGGCCATTTTGCCCGTTGATTCAACAGGCAGCATCTGAAACTGTCCGATGACTACGTATTCTCCGCTCATGGCAAGGTGCGGCAGACTTATGTTCGTGTTAACCTTCAATTCTTGTGGATAAACGCTGAAATTAGAATATTATTCTAAAGTATTTTAAGATTTGAACTGTGTCGTAAAATATTATTTACTGATACTGATACGTAAATTAAATATGCCATAATCTAAAAATGGTTCTTTGAAAGGAAGCTGTTAACTAGGTTTACCAAATTGCATCGCCCCATAACTATATGAATTTTAATTAGAAGTTAATTTATTAAACATTGCCAGTCGCCGAAACTTAAATTTATTTATCTTGCATCTAACACTGATATTAAAAAATCTTACTCCAACTTATTGAATGTGTAGTTCGTAAGTCCACGGAGTTCAACATCAGAGAACCACGCATCATATTTGAAGCCAGATTTGGGAGCATTGTGTTGTCTCAGTCTTATGTTGGGTATTTTGAGAGGCTCGAGGGGCTGTATGTTGAGAGATGGTATGCCGTGGGCCAGCACTTGCCGCGCTTGCTCCGCCATACGCTTTATACAGTTTGCGATGTCCGGGTCACTGTAGTGGCACATTTGTGTTTCATCTGTAATCAACAAAAAGATTTTTATATATAATGTTCTCACCAAGGTATTGGAGCCTCCCTTAGTTTGGGATAATTAAGCAATTTAGTACATAGCGGGAATCGAACCTAGAACCTCTATTGTTTAACCTTGGCGCCACTGTTACTCCAAATTAAAGAATTTTATCAAATAAAATATATAAATTTGATTACAATATACTTAATTTTATGTCCATATCAATGCTTGTATAAGTGGTTTTCATTCTTATATACTTAACCCTTAATTCGACGAAATTTATTGTAGCAAAAAAACTGTTTTTTTTAGCAAAGTCTTACGTAATTTTCTCCAAACTAGTTCAGTAGATTTTTTTAAAGTTATTCGTCACATTGGACACCATCGAATTAAGGGTTAATAATAAAATATATCTTAAAACTTACTCATTTTCCCATGATCTTCATTGTGTACGTCTGTTGTATTAGTTATTCTCCTTCCCGCAACATTATGTGCACATAGAACGAAAGCACAAATTGCTAAGTATTTCATATTGGAACGAGGCGTCTGATACGTTTGAATTATCGCTAAGATTACTTCCAATGATGTTAAACGCTTTTATAATAGATGAGAACTGGTCGTGTGTTTATACCATATGTGATATATGCGGCCTCGTGTCTAAGGTCTGCAGGACATGGCAAGTACGGCGCACTACTGGATATGTGACTAATTAACCCGATCTGCGTACTTGTGTCATTCTCAAAGTCATTTCTTTTTCCGGAAACAAACTATGTTCTATGTTTATGTCTCGATATAAAAAATCGGTGACCATCGTTGCTCTGTGCTGATAGTCAATACAACAAATTTAAAGCTACTAACTTAGACTAAGTTGTAAGTTGATAACATTAAGAGGAAACTTAGATATAGACCACTGTATGGTAATAAAAACTATACTACTAGTACGAAAGTTTAAAATAAAACAACAAGTTCAATAAATATCTTTTTTTTTTACATTTACATTTTAAACTTAATTAACAATAAATCACTAAAGAAATACTTAAAACAAAAATTGTTTTGTTTCAATACACTTAGATTAAACTTTTTATTTCATATATGGAATTCGATCAATATATTATATGGATTGGTGACAAGTTATTTTCTACTAAAATACAACTATACTGTAACATTAACTCGAAAGCTCACATTATCTCGTAGATGATGAATATGATCTCGTAGATAAAAAAATGAATACTTAACCTAACTTAATCTATTTTAAGTAGATATAAACGCTTATTAACAATTAACTTAGGACGTATTTCTTTTAATTAATTATCGATTTTCTCCAATATAATCAAATTATTTACATATTTTTGGCTCTTTTTAAGTGATTTATTGGTTACTATCATACTTACAAATAACTTAACCCAAAGCTAAATTATTTTCATAATCTCTATAATAAAGTACACTAAACTTAAAGATTCACAATTATTTTCAGAGACCAAAATCCCTGTACAAAACATATAGTTTGTTGTTGTTGTTTTACATGCTTTAAACGTGTTTTAAACGGAGATTTTGGTCTCAAAAACCTACGGTAAATGTGTTAAAGTTGACAAAATTAAGAGGTGTTTGTTTCGTCAGTTAATATGTCCTTTATAGGTATACCACCGAGTATTTTGTTCAAGAATGCCTTCAGCACCGCGGCCGTGGTCTCCTCTACAAGAGGGTTTAGTATATCCAGCACAATACCCGGACTGGCGTTGAAGAAAGTTGCTGCTGATGATGCTGAAAAAGTTTTAATATAGATATTTAGTTATTTTATTTTTAAGAACAGCTACAGAAAAATATTGTTTTTCAAACAAAAGAGGAACAATTCTTTAAAGAATTTACGAATATTATGAATGCAAATGTTTAAATGGATGTATAGAGGTTTTGTTAGAAGATATCTCCAGAACAGCTCAACGGATCTCTATGGAATTCGGCATAGACACAGAAAATAGTCTGGAAGAACACATAGGCTTTTCTTCAGTTTATTTTTAATTCCACATTAATGATGTAGCGGGCAAAAGCTAGTTACTCATGAAATAAATATCGAAATATCTTAGAAAAGTAAAGTCTAGATATCTCAAATAATACAACACTCACTACAGTTACTTATAACTTGAAATTATTAATTAATGCGATAGCAAATATTTTAATCAAGGTATATGCATTTCATTTAATTAATAGCAATGATTGTAGGTCACTCACCCGCCGCGGGACTATCAGAATCGTCCAGTGCTATGTGACCGTGACCAATCTTTACTTTTGTGATAACTTTATCCACTTGGAGATACTCGACGTTGTCTTTTACGATTGGTTTCGCAAGTCCTTTTGCCACTACGTATATTGCACCTAAAATTACAAATATATTATTAAATAGAAAAGATTTTCGTACTGTATTTTAGGGGGAGATGGTTTGTAATTGCATTAAATAATTACCACATTTATATCCTTTATCCGTTAGAAGGAAACTTTTTAAAGCCACATTCATAGTACATACAGTAAGGTATTGTAAGAAATTGACGGCGTAAATTTGTTCGAATAATGTATACTTTAAAAACAGAGTGAATAATCTTCTAGACTAATGCGTATTTCATCTACTAAACATTAGGTGAGATCGTGGTCAAGCACCATTTTACTAATTGTTAAAATTTTTCAAAAATAACTTACTGAAGTTGCCCCTAAGCTTGCCCTTGCCGTTGATATCGACAGTCAGAATGCGGGAGCCGCGTACATCGTAGTCTCCAGCCACAACGAGCTTAGGAATCGACAACCGCACCTCGGCCAAATACTTGTTGTTCAGATTTAATCTGGAAATAAATAAATAAAAAATAGTACACGTCTCTTCCAAAAGATGGCGCTGTACTTAATAGATTTTTTGTTGATCCAATGTAAACAATGTTGCGAACTTTTCGCGTTAAAAGTATTTCAACAGTAAACGAAACACCATTTTTTTCTAATAAGACCACAAAAATAAAAAGTAATCGAAATAGAAAAAATATGACACAACAAAGACACAAAAGACAAATATGCAAATATTATATGCAATTATTTCGGTTAAATTCCAAATTCATACCTGACACAGAAACTTCTACGTATTAGGGTACTTGGTACGTAAACGTGGATTGAATACTTAATAACTTAAGTATGTATGATTGCCCTTAACTTTATTTGTGCCTAGTACAAGATTTCACGACTAAAAACGATGTCAAGGCGCAGATTTTCCACTTAACCTCTTGTTATACAAACTGTGGTATGTTTATTTAGCCGCGCCAATAATAAGACTAACATTGATGTAAAATAGACTTCTAAATATTTTACACGCAAATTTTTAAATTAATATAAAAAATCGGGTCAAATTTTGCTATTAATTGCTGAAATCTCTATAAAAAATTTAATCGTTGATGCAAGAATGGAAAGTGAACTTGCCTAAATAGCTTTGTAATAAAAGTTAAATTAAATATTAGTTACGTTAAAGCAAGGACCGAAAAAAATTGTCACATTGTACCAAATTACGTAGTTTAATATTCTGAATACTAAATGTACTCAGTCATGGTGGTCCAAATGGAACACGTCGCTCATATTAATGAGGTTAATTAATTTTTTATAACAGACAACTCTTCATACAATAACAAGGAAGTGATTGTGTTATTTTTGTTAGAAAAATTAACGAACAATATTATATTGTCGTCGGTAAATAAATCATGCTGTATATATATCGGGCTCTATCTATTTTAAAAGATGCAGTAAAATATATTGAATCATTGTTAAAACTTTAAAGTTAAATATCTAATATTTTATGTTTTCTTTGCCAAATTGTATAAATACATATTTTATCCAATTTAGTCAACATAAACTATTTGTTTAATATTGTTTAATATGTCATTGAAACGATTCTGGGCATCGAGAATATTAAAAAGGTAGTGATGTAACTGAACGAAATGCCAATAAGCAAAATGTTGTTGAAACTTCTTTAACCAAGGAGTTACTGGCGCATAACAAAATGTATGTTAGGAAACTGTGAAAGTAAAATGCAATATGACAAAAGGTATTGGACTTGAATTTATAAGAAATACTAATAACCATCTCCTTTTTAAAGTCAATAAAAAACAGAATTATGTTACGATAATTAAAAAAAGTTCTGTTACTCGGGTGCTCTGCTCTGCGTATCCGCAAGGTAAAAAAAACGCAAATATTTTAGTCTAGCCAGGGTTGTCAAATTTATACCTTTCACGATGTCCCTTTTTGTTATAGGCATTTAAATAATAAAATTATGACACTTACTTGAATTTTTCAATCTTGAAATTAGAACCACCCAAAGCCTTCATGTTCCTGAGAGTGGCTTTCAGTCGTAGATTCGACGCGGTCCTATCTAACTTCAATGTAGGTACTGTGAAAGGATCTAGGGCAGGTACGTTGACCTCTGGGATGCCGCTCTTTAGTCTTGGCCTCATACTCTCCACGGCGTCCAGAAAGCATTTCTCTATTTGTGGGTCACTTTTCTTGCAATGCGGGAAATAATCCGCTGTGAAACATAAAAGTTAATTTAAATCTTTATTATTTCATGAAATATCTTTTATTACACGTAAAAATCTCTTCCTGAAAGAAAGCTCTTTTTTCAGAGAATGAGATAACAATGAAGGTAACTATAAAACACGGAAAGGCCTTGGTTGTCAATTGACAGACATACTCGGTTCTTCATGACTTCATTGTTATAATATTAATCAGACTTATACATAATAATTATCTTTATTTAACACTAGCGGTCGCCCGCAAATTAAAAAATAACATAATTAATAGCCTATGTGTTCTTCCAGACTATGTTCTATATGTATACCAAAATTCATCGAAAACCGTTCAGCCGTTCAGGAGATACCTTCAATGAAACATCCATCCATCCATTATTAAATCCATGGAGACATTCGCATTCATAATATTAGTAAGATTTAGACCGCTAAAAAAGGATAAAGTCATGTAACTACAACAAGCTTTCAACAAATGTACCTCCGATCCAGAATCGAAAATCGATTCATTAAATATTATAATAATAAAAAATATTGACTCTGTTCTTAGTTTGCTGAACTTTAAACGTAAAAATCTTAGTTGAATATACTGTAACTAGTTTCCCTTTAATGTATTTAAAAAAAAATACGCTTAAAATAAAATCGCGAAGAGTTATGACTTTAAAATTTTTGATCAAAATCACAGCTCAATATCAACCCTAAGCATCATGTTTGGGAAGGAAACAAATTAAACGTTTCTGGAATCGGATTAATATTAACTAATTACCTATAGTTTTTTAATAAACAAAAGTTATCAGTTTACAATCACTTATATTTAAGGTCAACTTTATTTTTTCACTTGAATATTATGACCTTGAACTTAATTCTTTGTCACGTTTATTAATTTCAATGTTTAACTACACGCAAGTTAAGTAAAATATAAAGAGAATGACAAGGCATAATACCCGGATAGTAATAACTTAATTTTAAATTTAATTTGGTTATAACAAAATAATTTCCGTTTAATAATTCTAAAGTAAAGTGCAAAAGGAGATTTTTATTCCATCGTGACTTATAGTCGAATTATATTGCGACATAATGAAAGTACATTTAACACATTTAATGACCGCATGAATGTAATCAAAGCAGTCAGAGTCCTAAGAATATTACGAAGTTCTATCCGGTGTTCATATTCACGTAATCTACAGGAATTTAAGTCGGTACAGAAGTTTCTTATTATAGTATATTTATTTTATTTCTATTTTAGTGATAATTCGAATCAAAAATAGTTTCCGTTTAAAATCACCACGTTCAGAAATTAATAATTCAACGCAGGCAGTTAAAATATATTTCAAGTTCAAAACGTGCAATTTTCTAATAAAATTAAGCGTACTCTACCAACTACTATACTAACCTAGTTTTTGCTGTTTAATAAAAATAATATTTATTGCTAATTAAAGGTTGTAAGACAACAATCACTTCATAACTAATATATTAAGAAAAACTTTTAATAATAAGTTCTAGTACAAAGGTCAATTTCGTTCTTTTAAAAAAAAATACACTCATAGAAAAAAGTTACTTACGAACACTCCCGTAAACATCGGTCGCGATTACAATAAAAAAAAATATTAACACCTTCATTATTAAACTATTGTTAACTTAATTTAATCTGAAACAATTTTTGAATAAAACAGAAAGTGAAACAAGCGCGTAGTTCGCGTACCGGTTGTCTGAAAGCGAATGTGCGCTCCCGCCCAAATAACCGATATTTGTAGTAAAAGAGACAGTGCGCTTAACCGTGCCCAATATTACGCAATTACTGGGAAAAAAGGCTTAAAAATTATGGGATTATACATCAATTTACTTCCGTGTATAAGAATAAGCAAGGTATTAAGGAGATTATTCAGAATAATGCATGCTTTGTTTACTCCGTTCTTTTTGAGGTATGATAAAATACTATAATTTATTAAAACCAATCACAAAATAGACCTACCTTACACAGCTGTTAAAAGATATTTGTTGTCTTATTAGTCTTCATCCAGCGATCTTTCCTTTTCAGATCAAACGATATCCATCTCTACAGTATTTCTTCCTAGTTTCATTTGGGACTTCGAGCAAAATTATTATATTAATTACTTTTAAAGATACTTCGTATTGATTAAAAATTTTATTCTTCAATATTTCATTTTGCAAATTAACATGTTTTAATAATATGATACAATTTTAATTATCTCTACTCATATGAATATACAATAAATAAAGTTAAACCCTAAAGGGATCATTATATTTTTTCCCAAAACACTTATATTTTGTCATAAAGAATTTTATACCTTCACGGAACATATAAAACGAGGAAACAATTCTTAATAAAAACAAAGTAATCCTATAAGGGTTCCGTTTTTTCCTATGAGGTACGGAACCCTAAAAACAATTGGCATAATAAATGTAACACGTAAATCACATTGTTTTGTTTTGATTATTTTATTTTAGTGCATTTTTATCGCAATATATTATATCATATATATATAAAGTTTATCCCTTTATTTTGTGTTTTCTATTGACCTAAGTGGTATAGTTGAAATGGGGTACTGTTTTTTTATTTCATAGACATATATGTATGTCTATTATACATATATATGTATAATAGACTAATAAACTTTTTCTAACTTTAGCTTTTTTAGGATCTAAAAGTTAAAAAATCATCCCACGCACTAGAATTCCAGTTATTTTCATAACAAAGCATTGGTAATCAGGTTTTAGACAATCTTTCAAGGAACAAAAGTATGAGTTTCCAAAAGAAATGTAACTATACTTACCTATACAATAGTCTGGCTTAGCCAACTCAATTGTCGTAACTGACTTATAACCTTTTAAGAAAAATAAAGCGTAATTAACGCCTACAAGTAAATACTTTTCCATTGTTTTCATAGTAAACAAATTGCGACCTATAAGATTGAAAAAAACTGACAGATCAAAAAGAAAAAGATAAAAATAAAAAGGCAAGTAGTGCACCGAAGTGGACTTCCGTGACGTATTACATAAAAATGGAGGCGAACCGCGGCCGGGGCTGCGGTTCGATACAGTTGCGTAAAATGCTGTATTATCTCACGGCTAATAGAATTCGGAAGCAACGTTACGTGCATCGATGTGGACCAAACAGTTATCAATTGTTGTTAAACGACACAACTTTTAATAGTAAAACAGGCCATCTTTAGTATTAAACTTTATGAAAAATTTAACTATGCAAAAAACATAATTAGAAGCCTATGTGTTCTTACAGACTGTTCATGTATGACAAAATTTAACGAGATCCATGCAGTCATTCTGGGGATACCTTCAAACTTATATCCACCCATACATACATCTAAACATTCGCATTTATAATATTAGGTAGTAGTAAAGCCATAATTTTATTTCACCATTTTAAATTTCAGCCAGTTATTTCATCTTTTAAATTTCAAAAATTTTCTTGATTTTGTTACTTTCACACAACACAAAAAAAAACTGTTACTATATCTACTTAATATCTATGTTTTGTGAGGTCGTAATAATTTCTTTAAAATACAAATGAACATAAAACAGCAAACAAAACTGAACTATTCGTCTTTGCTAGCCTTTTTAGGGTTCCGTACCTCATAGGAAAAAAATTTAGATCACTTTGTTGTCCGTCTGTCAAGACCCTTTTTCTCAAAAACGCGTGAAGGTATCAAACTGGAATTTATTTTTTGGTTAATACTGCAGTAGATTAAAAACAATCAAACAATAACTATAAAATATTAACTGTAAACTACATAATCAATCTAAATAATTTTTTGCGATAAACATTAATAATTCTATGAAGTTCTTTACGTATTGCAAAATCATTACACATATCAGCCCTTTGTCGCAAACATGGCAAACAAGATTTGGTACAAGACAAACTTGACATTTAAATAATACACTAAAACTAAAAAGAATAAAGTTGGTATTACCAATATTGCTCAATTGTATCAAATATTTTTTACAGCTCGTTAATTGAAAAACAAGTTCACTACTTGCCCTTTGGATATACATAAAAACAATTAAAATAAGCTCAATTGAAATGTTGTGTGGAATTTTGGTTTACGTGTTTTATTTGTTTTTTTTAATTAAATTCTGTACTTCTATAATCTGGGGTTTGCCCTTGATTTCGTTCGCGTTAAGATTTGTATTTTTTCAATAATTATTTTAATGAAAGTAATGATTTTCAAAATCATTATTTTGAAACTTGAACAACAACACCACCGACTCTTTGGTATCAACATCGTCGACGACGCCGGCGCATCCCGCGCCCCCTCAAGACGCGCCCTAAGAGCGCAGGCGCGCAGTGAGCGAAGGGCCGCGTCCGCAAAATAATACCAGTACCATTCATCCTGATGAAGGGCCCCCGATGGGCTCGAAACTAGTCGGTGCCGCCACCGGACGTATATACGTGAGTGTTTAGCCGTGTTTACATATCAGTTTAGTATAATGTCTCACGAAAGTTTGAATAATTCAAAATTATCTATGCGCGTAGTCCACTATCTCAACCAAATTGTTTGTAATAACTTTATAAAATACCTTATATTTCGTCAGTTAATATAGAATATATAGTCTGGATTATCGGTGACATATCATACAAATAAATCAGATTTAACTTACTTTCCAAAATATCTATTTATTTATTAAATCTTATAATACAATTTTTTCAACTAAATAGTTTTTCGTAATGACAATATCAAAGTATTCTAAAAGTATTCTTCTGTAATAAAAAAAAATGCAAACATAAAATATATAATTCCAATCGTAACAAATAGAAAACATTCAAAAAAACAATTACATCTATAAAATACATCCATAGAGATGTCTTTAACTTAAACTACGACTAAAAACAAAAAAAATCGAACTAATTTGAAATTAAATTACACTTACTAATGTCATTTAAGAGATTTTTTTTAATCATAATTTACAACGTGTTGATGGTTACATTATTCATAACTATTACTATCACATTTAAAAATTAAAAATAAACTTATAATTAATTTCAAAACCAATATGAAATATATAATAAATACAAAAAAAAACTAGTATTTATTAAAATGCTGGAATTTAGAGTACTGTGATGATGTAATTAAATTTAAATTTTATTCCAAAAACAACTGAAAGTTGTAACAAAAAATTATGCTAATATCAAATTAATTATTTGGAATATTCAATTTATAGTCACCCTACTTGGTTAAACTGATGACAAAGATCAAAGAAAAGTCACTGACAGCTGCTACAACTGTTACGTATCATTTTACAACCAAAAATCTTACACAGCAGAGACAAATTGGGACTATGAAAACGATATTTATACTTTTAAAATGTGTACCAGCAATTTACAAGAAAAAAATATAATCACACACAATCTAAACTAAAAACCGCTATAACTCGAATCAAGGAAACAGTTCTTTGTACGTGAACTTTGATGTTATTTTATTCGCCATTTCCGTGAAGAGTTCCCCAAGGCTGCGTTCTAAGACAGGACTTATTTCTTGTAGGAATACTTGAGAGTTTTCGTTGATGACCCTGTTTGTAGCGGGTCCCAGGATCGGATCACCGTCGAAGAGATTCGTCAGGTATATTGAAGATTCTCCAACACGAAGCTTGACTTTGAATGGATCGAATGTTAAATATTCATCGTCTCCGCGCTTCTCTTTGTGTCCTCTCATGGTCACGTTGCAAGCGTAATCCTCTGGAATAAAAAAAAATAGTTCTTAAAACTGTTTAAATAAGTGTTTAATAATGTTGACGAAAATAAATACTTGAAAAAAATAAACAGAATTGCAAATATTTTAACTTTCAGTTAAATGTATATCTACTTCAGTTATTTTTAAAGTATAAGTATAATATCAAAGTGTTCTTCAGGCCTAAAAACAAGCACTAGTTTTAATAATTATTTTTCAAGTCAATTTATAAATTTAATATTTTGGCCAATACCGAAATTCTAATTAAATCTAATGTAGGCGCCACTATTATCTGAGTAAACTATGCAAATAAAACGATATGAAATTTACACCTGGCCGATAATGATTTTATAATACACGCAATAAACAAAAACAGAACGCTTACGTCGTAAAATAGAGTCGGTTACCTAGAGCGACGTAACAGCGGTCCGATTAACACACATTCCCTCACCTACTGAACACCAGTCGACTTCGATTCGACAACTACGAAAATCGTTCATATGAAATTCGATTTTCAATTTAGTTATTTATATCCTGTCTTACTATAGTGTATTTTCTAATTTTTCCTACATAAAAATTTCCAGTGTAAAATAATAGAGTTGTATATAAATGGCTGAGAAAAATATTTGTTCTAAAAATTCAGCGTATCACTTTAATTCTTGATAGGCGGAAATAAGGGACGTTGTATAGTAATTAATTGGTTAGGATTGGATACTGGCGTACTAACTTTACCTAATACCAAGCGATACTTAATAGAGCCGAGCAGGTGGCCCTTGCAGACGTCGCCCAACACTCCACACGAAGAAAAAAATGAATATTTGATGGTGTAGCTAACATTTCTAATATTTTTAAATTAGAACATGTAATAAAATTCAATTAAATGCAAATTATGCATGCAGTTTACTGACACTTTATAGTTATAGAAATAAGTCGAACGCGAGCCATCAAGCGCAACAGCCGGCCGGGAGATGCATGTGGCCGGGATGACGAAACTGTGACGAAATAACTCGCACATCTCACTTCATAGCAAAACGTTGCACCATTACTATGGAAATTGTTTACTAATAAATTTATTTTAATACCGTTAGATGATAAAGAAATACACAAACTTTTGTAAAATTTTAATTATAAACACAATATTTATCAATTAAGAATATTATACTTGATGTTATAAAAGAAAGGGTTATAAGAATTGATACTTTATAACACTCAGACTATCTTTGTAAACAACCTTTGAATAGCCAATAGCTAAGTTTACGAATTACTGCGACCTTGAATTCGAACTCCGCTATTACTCATGCTAAAGTTACCTGATTAGCGAAGATTATATGTAAAAAGCATAGTAAATCAGTCATTTATGGTATATCAAATTACATTATCTTGAAATATGTACTCACTGAAGGAGCCAGTGATATTGCCGCGACCCTGTAGACGCAGCAACAGTACTTGGATGTCCATCTTGTACTTGCCATTGAAGTCCAGCCGTGGCAGGAGCAGCTTGAAGTCAAACCGATTGTTGTCAAGGTCTGACCTGGAATGATTACATCAAATACTGTTAGTTTTCATTCAGTTTGATATTAGCCAATTTTTAGATTAAAAACTAGACACAAATTAAACAAAATGAAGGTTAATTTTCGTAAGGAATGAAACACAGCTACAATCTTTTGGATAAATAATTTTGCGCAACAATGCGCAACTAAGTTCTCGCTGTTTGTCAGTAGATGGCTCTAGCAGTAAGAGCTGGTCGATTTTGACATATCCAAAACGTCATGAACCAAGCTTAGACATATGGTAAACAAACCGTTGCGACACATGAGTGATTTTGTTTTCGCATTATATATAATATTTAAACTGGCTTCTATTCATTTAAAAAGAGTAATTGTGAATTTTAAACATTATATAATCTAAAGTGTAAAATTGAAATGATACAGTTTTAGATTAAATAAAATCTAAAATATATTGCATAAAGTTTAAAGTACAAACAACACTAAATGCTGATTCGTTATAAATAATAATAATAAGGTTCCTGTCTCTGCAGCCCTGACCACTGGTCGTTTAAGCCATGGGATTCCGCAGCCGGTGGTGCTCTATTTTTAATATAATATATTTTGTATAATTTTATATTTTATATAAGAAATGTAATATATTAAAAATAAGGTTAATAAATAAAGAAACTAATAATAATAAAATTATTAAAGGCACACATCTTGAATAATTCGTAATACTCTTGTTGTTACTTGAAAATAATCTGATGACAATTTTGTCGCAATTAGTATTCTCTACATTTTCAAGGTAAAAATGACAGTTGCATATAAATGATGTTTTAATCTGTCGAATATACGATAGGTATAAATGATTTATCGAAGGTGGATTATACGGCTGCCTACACAACATACGTGCAAAGAATTAGATACGAGTAGGTTATGTGGTAGGACAATAGAAGTTATATGAATTTCTTACTTGAACAAGAATTACAGAAATATAAAATAACCCTAACTAAAAACCGGGATATTTGTTGCCACTATGAGTCTATATTACGAGATATAGTACAAAAATAAATTGTTTTAAATTATAAAAAATATATTTGCTTTTTGCTAAAATATTTTTTTTCGCAGGTAATTGTTATTGTTTTCCGTTAATTATGTATTGTTGTTTTATTATAACAATTGACCAATTCTCACGTAGTGCCCGCAAATTAGATATCGGAATTTGTCACACGTATTTGTAACACGTATGTACTGTACTTGATACAAATAATACTGAGTGCACACTGGACGAAAAAATTAAAACGTATTTGTTTTTCATTGAAAATTTTATTTATAAAATGACATAAGTAATTAGATGGAAAGAGGTCGTTTTGAAAGACACGAGTGAGTGCCAAATTTCAGAAGAAGATGTCATGGACAGAGCGAAGTGGAAGAGACGGGTTAGGAAAGCTGAACCCACCACTATGTGGGATGCAAGCTAGGCAGAGAGAGAGAGAGAGAAAGAGAGAGAGAGAGAGAGAGACATAAGTAATTAATAAATTAAACCACGTGATTTAAGTTACTTGTTTTGCATTTTTATTCCTAAATTTACTCTCCCAATTTCAAAAATCTTGAAAGGATAACGACTATTAACGACACTTATATTGTAATTAAATAGGATTGACTTTCAATTTTAGTTTTATTTAATTTTATTTTTTTTTATTTAATTAAGATCACACTTACTTTAGCTCCTCAATGATGAAGTTACTGGGACCTCGCACTTTGACGTCATTGACGACCGCAGTGAGTTTGGCGCCCTGCGGACCCCGCGCAAGTGCGATCTGGCCGAGGCTGAGCGGCTCTATACCAGGCACGTCCAATTCGGGAATACCCTGAAATTTATTAGAATCGCTTATCAGCCACACAAACTCGAAGATCGTGTTAAAAGTATATTTAATAGTGTTTTTTGACGTCAAGGGCAAAAGAGCAATGGAAACAGCGATCATCGCTTCCCCTATATGTATATCCGCAACAGAGAAACTGCAGATGCATTGCCGGCATTTGTGAAATAGAGATAGACAAATGAAAAACGTCTGAGAATTCTCAGAACCTAGTCGTCGCAAAATCTTTCTCTGAAAACACAATTTCAAAAGCTATCGAGAACGTAAGCTCTTTGGTAACAAAATGGTCAGTGGGTCGATGTTGAAATGATGCTTTAAGCTTCGTTTACAATATGCAGATCGTAAATACGAGACAAAGAAACGAAGGATGTATTTGTGATACAGATTATTATATCTGTGAGTTTTGAATGCAGTGTATTTTATGTTTCTGTTTTGGCAAAGAGAATAAATGGGATAAAACAAATATTAATTCAGAGTAATCGGAGCCTACCAAGATAATTTGCGAGGAAGTATTCGTAACGTCATAGACTAAATTTATCAAAATTTGTAGAAGTACGAATCTAGTTTTTTTTCGGTGACACTACGAACACTGTCTCGAAAATTTTCGTGCTAGACCTTCTATTATTATATATCTTCGCTTGTTGTTGACATTTCTATCTTCAAGCAACTTGACATACAATCTCTCTCTGATCTCTGATCGTTACGAAACTTCTTTGACATTGACATACATTTCTTACGATATACGCAAAAAATCGTACAAAATATGACACGTCATTATTTACAGTTATACAATGCGACTTTTATTTACTATTAAATGATATTTCAACCAATGACATCTTATTTAATAATAATGCGAAAGTATAGATGGAGATCCATCAATCTTGGATGGATGTTTGTTTAAAGGTATCTCCGAAACGGCTCAACGGACCTTGATGAAATTTTGCACAGATGTAGAACTTAGTCTAGGAGAACAGATAGGCTATTAAGTTTTTTTTTATTACCGCGCGGACGGTGTCGTGAGCGACAACTAGCCTTACATATAAAATTCTCGCGTCGCAATGTTAGTTAGTCTCCTTCAAAACAGCTTAACCGATTTTTATGAAATTCTATACACATATTTAGTAGGTCTAAGAATCGGCTGCTATCTATTTTTTAATCCTGCACGGACAGAGTCACGGGCGATAGCTAGTAGTCAATAATTATATCAATAAATCATAGACAGTAAACATAACTCAAACAGACCTTGGTTATAAACAAGTTTAAGAAATATTGGATATTCAACATCCAATAATACAAACTAATTATGAATTTTTGTAACAACGCCATTTGTAATTACAAATGAAAGGTATTAGGATATCCTATTATGGCAATTTACGCGCAGAAACTAAACGCATGTTATATGAATCGCATTTTGCAACAACAGTATTATCCTCGAATGTTTTGAAAGCACTGTCGCTTACAATATTTATTTTACTTTTTTTTTATTAAACAAAAGAATATTATTTAAGTACTTTTTGTGGACCGCGGACTAAAAAAATAAAGCCTATGTGTTCTTCTAGAGTATGTTCTACATGGCATATTTCAACGAGATCCATGCAGCTGTTCTAGAGACAACAACAAACAATCATGCATCCATCTATCCATCCTAACATTCGCATTTATAACATTAGTAAGATGATGACAATCTTTTTAGCTATTTTGCAGTTTTAGATTCATTAAAATATTTTTAAATTTATTTAAACTAGAGCACAGGCGCAAAAACTAGATAACAAATGTGCGTCATTTGCCACTGTGTCATATATGACGACTTATTAAAAACAAATTTCTATTATTTGGCATGAAGACATTCATTCAACGGATTAATACCTTTATTATTTAGTACTTAACGCTTAAGTTCCCTTGAACCACTTCAAATTTTTATCTGCAAGCTTTAAAATTAATAAAGGAATACGTGCCTTCACGGGTGTCGATAAGAAAATTAACAATGAATTAAAGAGCAATGACGAGGAGCTGAGCGCTTCAACTGCTTTGTATATAAGGAATGGATTGCATTTCGTATGAGATTGTTTGCTCTAAATATGGGCCGACATCAAGTGGCACTGTGTGTTACCTTGGCGCTTTTCTTGCAGGTAAGGTTTAGTTGTAAAACAAAAATATTTTTTAACAAATTATTACTTCGATTTCGTAAAATTTTTTTTTTTTTTAAATAGTAAGTTTTACTTTTTTTACTTTACCCGCTAAGCAAAAAAACAGTCCATACTTATAATACATACAGCGATGTCATAGACAAGTATTTATGTTTTTTTTCAGGTTCTGGAGCTTCAAGCGAGCGAATGTAATAAAAGAACAACTTTTATACAAATAAGAATACCACAGAAAACAAATGTGGCCGTAAAGTATCCAAAAGAAATAGATCCTGTACAATTCGTACCATTCCCTTACAATCCTTCGGGATCTGGATGTATGAAATGTCAGGGAATGACGTGCACAAAATGTGTTTACACCAAAAACTCTCAGTCGACTACAAATATTCATGCAAGAAAAACAAACATCATCATTGATATTAAAGGAACTAAGAGATTCAATGAAAGTATTGCTGATGCAGACAGTTCTTATGATGATACTTCGGCTGCGAAAGTAGATGGTACAATTGTTGGAATATATGATAAAACATCAGCAGCTAGCCAGAGTGGTGCTACAGCGAAGTCGGGTGACAATGGAAACTCATCAGCTGCAGTTGCCTCCGGTACTGCACTATCACAAAGCGATATACTAGCTGCTATTGATGAGGAAGAGATCAATAAACTAGATGGCAGTAAATCCCATGTAGAAGATGTATATGTACTGAGCGAAGACATTTCTACAGCTAATGCTAATAGTACATCAGCCAGTGAAGGTGAGGATAAAAACGAAAATGGTACATCAACGCTTTCAAAAACAGATGACACTCAATCTACTACAACGATTGTTGAAAAGGATTCAGGCAATACAGCAGTTCCTGCAGACGCGAGCGGTACAACGACAAATGATTCAAGTCAACCAGCAAGCCCTGGCAATGATAATCCTGCACCGTTACCCGATACAAGCGCTAATCCTGGAACTGATGCTTCTGCCGTTGATAAAAAACCAGATAATACTGGCACATAAAACGCAAGCACACGAGTCTTTAAAACGTCCTAAACAGTTCTATGGAAATGTTTCTAAATAAGAAGATAACCAACATAACCACGTAGATATTATATTACATAGCCTTGTAATTAACGAACAAACTAAAATAAAATATTATTATCTAATAATCATAGTGTATTTTACCTTAATCATCTTTGGCCGCAGTTCTTCTACGGAATTCATGATGCATTTATCCACATTAGGATCATTTCGCTGGCATACTTTGATGTAGGAAGCTGAAATAAAAAAAATAATTCGTAAGTATCATTACTGAACACTATTTATATTATAATTTATTATCCATAATTAATTTTATTTATTTATTAATTAATAAAATAAAGTTTTCAATTATAATTAACAAACTATAAGTACAAAAGCAAATTTGCGCATAATGTTATACCTGCATATCATCAGTTCATAGTACCTCTCTTATCTATGCAATAAAATATCAAAGCTACTGTACTACAATCACGAGTTCCCATATGATTAGTTTTACGATGTATATTACTGATTGATTTAATATTATAAATTCATCACAACTTTAATAACCTTCAAAGCATACCTTACTCAACAACAAATAAATTAAATTCGATCAACTTGTTATGTTTACATAATACTAGTAGAATACAAGCAAACCAGTTTTCCCAGGGTTCCCACTTTCGCTGAATGAGAACAAGACCAGTCGGGTATTGATTATATCATAGATTTACATTAACGTAATCACGATTCACGTTGTAAATAGATACAACAGCTGGATGACAGCTAAATGGAATTCTTTAGAACTATTCTTGGCTGTAACAACATTATTATAATTTATAAAATAAAAGTTAGGATTCAATCCCAACTTTATAAATGGTTACAAGAATGACAGAATGTTATATTTGCCTATTTAGTCAGGGGACCTAGTATCTATCACAAATATTTACGACACGCGCAATCGTGCGGTTACCGACAAAATATGTCATGTATGAGATTTGTTGGTGTACTTTATGCCCGGTAAGGGCGCTGCACAAATTTTAATACTTTGGTCGATTAAAACGTGCTGAATATTTTTTTCTATGTAAACAACGATTTAAATCTTTTCGATTAAATATGAGATACGTAAATAAAAAAGGAAATTATCCGTCTAACCTTCCGATGGAAGAATGATGGAGAGTTTTTAACATATAATTGCTGAATCGTGTGTCCATTTAAAATTGCGTTAAAGTTTAAACATAAAAAGATAAACACAATTGACCTCAGCTAGGCTTACATTGAAAAATAAAGACAAACAATCTAGAAAATTTAGACCAAGGTCAAATACTGTACACGACTACCATCAACATACGTAAATATTCTCACAATTTTTTTTATTTAGGACTCGTGCACTACTACTGCTAACTGTGGTCTAGTAAGACCATAGAAGCACCGACCATAGTGCACGAACTCTGTTTTGTCAAAGGTAATGACAGGGACGATGATATGTTTTATACAGAGATTTTAGTCTCAGAAATCAACGGTTAGAATGTTTTATTTGTTAATAACAGTCACAACCGTTACCAAACGCAACCCTCAGCCAATCGTCACCAAAATGGTGAAAATCAATTATCCATAAAATTTTATAAAGCGGAAGAGTTTGTTTAAACGCGCTTATCCCAGGAACTACTAGTCCGATTTGAAAAAATCTATTTATGTTTATAGTCCATTTATAGAGGATGGCTTTAGGCTACATAACATTACGCAGCGACCAATAGTTTTTTTTAATTCCGCACAAACAGAGTCTCGGGCGACAGCTAGTTAACCATAAAATACTAAAGCCAGTGGTATTTGAGCATATTTTTAATTTAATTTTTTTATAATTTGAAAGGGCCTCTACTACCAACCAGCAAACGTACTCGTATAAATAAAATAGTAATCGAAAATGCTGTATTAAAACTTCCGGATTGAACAAACGCCGCACGTGGAAGAGATCTACAGCCTTTCACGCACATATCAGGATTCATATCATTGGCTTCGGATAATACGTATCACGTAATTGGATCCTATTAACAAGATCTCCATGAATGTCGTCAGAGAAAAGTTATTTCAAGAGAATTCGGATCTTATACTGAGTTATATACCATCTATGTAAAAATATATAATACTAGATAGGTCAGCTGGACTATTAAAAGGAAGTGTTTTTATTATGGCATCGTAGGGTCTAACTACAGCTAATTTTATATATATACATGTATATATTATAGTAAGTAAATAAGCATTATCGTATAGTACATACAGAAATGTTACTGAAGGTCTGGTTCTAATTTTTGATTTAAATCTAATAATTTTTTTATTACTGTACTAAACAGTTTTTATAGCTGCATCGTTTTTGATGCTAAAAGACAATTTTCAGGATATGATTAAATTAAATACATCATATCGTCTTCAAAATTGAAAAGTGTGATAGTTTAATGATCGATAGATTAATTCTGATACATAACTCCTTATTAATTAAGGAATTAGCAAACGATCCTGTCGGTGGCCATTGTGTTTGAATTGAATACGGTAGTAATAGCAGTAAAATTTCCTATAAAGTTATATATTGAAATCTTCTTGTTTTTATGCCCTCTGCGGTTATTTTGGAACTACGTATTGAGCGCTCCGTTGACGAGCAAAACTAAGCTATTATTTTGTCTTTCATGGTATTACTTAAACGTCGCGATAGTCAACCTGTCGCAATTGTTTGTCAATATTTTGCTACCAACCGATTCTGGTTTCGCCGTAAACTCTTCCATAGTGTAGTTATAATGTTTTTCTTTTAAACTTCAGTCGAATTACAATTATATTGTCGGAAAATTTTAACCAATCTATTTTATTTTTACATACGCCAATTTATGCAAAGAAAAAAATAATATTTGCCATTAAACTATGTCAAACGTCACTAAAAAGGAATATCTGTATCTCATAAAAAAATCATGCACGTGAAAAATTAATTACACATTTTCAAAAAACATAAAGAAATACGTACTGATTTTTCATGAGATTCATGCCACGGCAAATAAAATACAGTTTTTAAAGTAAAATATTATCGTGACGCGTTGAAATCTTATACTCTATCCGAGACGTATCCAAAATGTCGTATTTTTGGTTTCACTTTAAGATCATTTTTCTATCAATTTCAATGACAAAAATTACATACAACTCTTAATTGTTCTATTAGATTTTTATGAAATAATTTGCAAATAAACATACAAACATGTAAACATGCAAACGTACATAAAAGTCATACATATATAACTTACGTATTTCAGCGGTAACCAAAGGTAAAGCTATAAGTAGCACTGTCGATAACATGTTTAAAGTTGCACAAACGCGTGAATAATATGTTACGAGGGACCGGCCAGCCGGGGCGCGATGTCGGCTGCCACTGATACAAGAGCCAGCTACGACCAGCCGCGGGCTCCACCACGCTCTCCGCGCCTGCGCTAAGGACGCGCGTGAGTGGTCGTCAGCCCTTCTATTCTGGATCGCTCCTTGAATCGATTGCGATATCAATATTTGCGATTCGGTTCATTGGCACCTCAATGGCTTAAGATTTAGGGCAGTGACTTTGCAATTTCTTTTATACGTACGCACTGATTTACGCAGTAATCAATCTTAAATACTTTACTCAAGCTAAACTTCTAAAAATTAATAGTATTTCTCAACAAAATAAAAAGTTTTACTTCTTTTAATTACGAATTGCAACTGCGAAATTTCCCCAGTTAAATCATGGCGAAGACATTGATGAAATGTTTGGCCCAGTGCAAATAATTTCATCAATGCCTTCGCCTTACTTTATTAATTAATCCATTGTTTAAGTCCTACGTCATGAAATAATGTATTAGATATCCTGATTACTGAGATCCGCACATTGCAGTGTATGGAAGGAAGCGACATGTCCTGGAAACGTGCCCGCAGCAACGCCGGTGCAATGCCGGTGTAGCTCACGTGCTGCGCTTCCGCTCTGTACCAACCTCCTTTGCTTCATGAAACTTGAACGTACATTACAAACTCTTAATTATGTGTTTTGTATGTTAAATGCTTATTTTAGCGCCTGAACATGAAATAGCAATTACTTTGTACTGCAACTTAAAGGAGGTGATTGTAATTTATGCTATAATGCAAAAGTTAAATACAGTAAAATAACTTTTTCAGTTTTTTTTTTCTTTATATGTATATTTTAATTGGAGTTCCCATAATCCTCAATATATTTTTAATCTACATATATTATGATTTTTTTCTTAATTTACTTCTAAAGAATGGACTTACAACAAACGGAAAGTTTTAAAAGAAATTATTTATTGAATTATGTTTTCATTTGCTTCGTCTAATTAATGGTATTTTAATAGTTTTAAAGATAATATTTCCATTGTCGTTAATAGCTATTATATTTTTATCCTTTAAATTTAAGATAAAACGTCTGTCACATAAAAATTAACAAGCTATCTCTCTTGTTTCCTCATCGTGATAAAAAAGCACTCTCTCGGTCTAAACATCCCTGACCTGAAACGATGGCCTTTACGTAAAATGTTTTCGCAAATACTAAGCTCGGATTAAAAAACTAACAATAGTTTTTTTCCTGATAAATGTTACAGAAGTAAAACAAATTGGATTATCATCGAAATTATCTAATTTATTTACAAGCAAAATACAACCCATATCTGCACTATATATGTATTTTATGTTTTTAAGTAAATCAGATTATGTAGCATTATTAACTTGTTTAAAGAATATACGCATAATCAAGTTTTCAACTGTTTTTTCACGTTGTTTGGGTTGTTAAAAAGCACATGATAAATTATCGACGTATGTTTTGGTATGTTACATGGTAAATATATCGTGCTGAGAGAGAAAAACAGATGAAGATCACTTTCGAAGTTTCGAGGGCAAATATTTTAATATCTCCAATGGAACACAACGGAACTCTTCAGCTCCGAGCTTTATCGTGTTGGTATAGCGATGTGACGATATGGCGGTGTAGCAGTGTTTTGACTTGCCGGCATGGCGGTGTGTCGGCAACGCAGGTCGCCTTGACCAGCCGGTTGCTTCACCGCCGCCGCTCGCCACCGCCTGTTCCGTAGGAAACTCACCTAACGTCGACATTCCAACAGCTATTACCACATTTTTGCCAATTACTCTCATCGTGTACTTTAATTTAATAAAACAGCACGTAAATGGCAAATAACGTCATACTATGACATAAAATTAATTAATAATATTAAGTAACTAGCTGTCGCCGGCGACGCCGTGGTATTAAAAAATAGACTTAATAGTCTATTTTTTAATACCACGCGAGTAACCTATGACTCCTTCCAGTCTATGTTATACATCTGCGCCAAATCTAATCAAGATCTGTTGACCTTTTTCGAAGATACCTTCTAACAAATATCCGTCCATCCGTCTAAACTTTTGAATTTATAATAATAGTAAGATATTTAATTCTTTGTCATTTTGAATCTCTTGGTATAACTGACACCTTATGGTGGCTCAAAGTGTTTGTAAAGGTGCAAAAGGCCCTTAGTAACCTCTTAATTTATTAAACTCAAGGTTTCATATCTCAGTTTAATTACATCATATTGGAGAGTTATTGCTGTTGTTTGAGATATCTATGTGTGTATGGTCACTTCTCATTGTATAAACCGATTTCTCGTTTGCAGATTTTCATCATCATCATCAGCTCACTAAGTCCCCACAGAGGGGCTCGGAGCCTACCCTAAGTTAAGGGTGATTAGGCCATAGTCAACCACGCTGGCCAAGTGCGGGTTGGTTGACTTCACACATATCTTTGAATTTCTTCTGAAATATATGTAGGTTGCATCACGATGTTTTTCTTCACAGTAAGAACGTCGTATAAATGTACATATATAAATTAGAAATCGAAAAACACATTGGTACATAGTGGGATTCGAACCCAGGACCTGCAGATTACAAGTCAAGTGCTTGACCCCTGAGCCACCGACGCTCTTGCAGATTTTACTATAGATAAAACAAAGTATACTCTGGTACTCCGCCTAAAAAATGCAACGCCAATGTTACATATATATAAATAATAACTGTACAAATATAACTTAGCAATATAATAAAACTGCAAGCAAACATTGTTGCAACATATTGTCTTACAATCAACAAGTAAGTAACCATTAACAAAATTGGCCAATATTTTTACCTTGAATATTATATTAGCTTTCAGTGAACGAAGTATAAATTAATTCCAGTAAGATCGTACAGAGAATTTTAATTTATAAGAAAAATAGCTGTCAACTTTTGACAGATATCTTTTCTCTTTTAAAATGACCTCGGGATATATTATGCCAGGATTTTATTTATAAAAACTCCTTTTGTAACCACCAAGTATTCTACAGTAAAACAAAAAAGTATAATATTAAAATAAATTCCAGCTTGTTACCTTCACGCGTTTTTGAGAAAAAGGGTCTTGACAGACGGACGGACGGACAACAAAGTGATCCGATAAGGGTTCCGTTTTTTTCCTATGAGGTACGGAACCCAAAAACTACATTGTATCAAAAATGAATTCAAAACATATATTTTTTAAACTATAACGCCAGCAAAAAAATTAAATATTACATTAGTTCAATTAACTTAAGGCTAAATGATAATTTAATTTTAATTTAATTACAAATAAATATACAAATAATTATACGAAATATGATTTAATGGATATTCAGTAAACGATTAATTCCTTAATAATAATCGGTAATCTCATCTTTCAACAAAAATATCAAGAAATATCACAAAACTTTTTTTTATTTATTAGAAATATGTAATACAAGGTATAAAATTTATATTACGAACATAAAAATTACAAATTTACGGTTTAGGAAACAACTCATCGTAAGGTATATCCTTCGTTACTTTATTGGCCGCGTCCAGAATAATAGTAGACACGCCTTTCTCAGCGAATGGTTTAGCCGCTTTCAGCAGTTCAGCTTTGTTTTCATTCAACGCCATATTTGTTGCATCTTCTAAAAAAAGAAATTAAAAAATTTCGTCCCATAAGTACGTTATACGTAAAATTTTAAGTATTCCTTACTAAGTTTCCATACTAAAATAAATAAATATTTGTCAACGTACGAAATTATTTGAGATTAAAAAATCATACTTGCAAGGTCAAATTATGGTTCTTTTTTTCCAATTAAATACACTACTTTTGTTGATTCTTAGTAGGAATCTAATTTATATCTTCTAATTTATATTTTATTGCTTCTGAAAATAACTGGTCCTTACCCAAAGCTTTATCTCCATTGAAAAGTCCTTGGAGTTTGATCTTATAGTCCCTTATAGTAATATCTGTGTCGATGCTTGTAAACTCAATGTATTCGACGCCATCTCTCTCCACTATTTTGATTTTCATAAACGCATCAACGTTACATTTAACTGAAAACAAAAATAATTAATTTTGTATTTCTGTACGATTAAAACATAAATACTAAAAACAGTTTAAATTTCTTTTTAATACATTTAAGAACAGATGACAGTTGCAGATGCCTTTTGACAGTGGTCTCCTAACATCAAATAATTCGCTTGCTCATTTGACACCGTATTCCATTTAAAAAAAATACTGAATAAGGGAACACTTTGAACAATTCAACTTATGTTTACTGCTCACTCCTTTAAGGTTAAGCGTCGTGAAAGGATTTAAAGAAGAAATGGTAACTAACTTGCATCTGCAACGAGTGTCCCCTCTCCGCGGATGGGCAGAAGCAAGAATTGTATGTCCACTTTGTATTTCCCTTCGAAATGCAACCGCGGGAATCGTACACGGGCACGGAACGTTAAATTTTCTAGATCAACCCTGGAAAAAAAATACAATACGGTCATTACGAAAATTGAATAAAAGATGGCAAAATAATTATAGACACATCTCGTGTAAAACTGAGATTAACAGCGAAGCAAAAATATTTTAAAGCTTACATTTAACAATAGATGGCGTTAATTTCTATAATTTAAAAGTACCGTGAGTTTCCACTGCGAAACACCGGTACGAGAAACAATGTCTCTGTTTTTTCAAAGAAAATGAGTAAAGTAGGTACATGTTTTTATTTTGACAGTGTAAATGCACTTAAAAGATTGAATGACAAGATAATTTTAAGGCAAATTGCCTTGATGACCGTGAATTATAGTAATTTAAAAATTATGAGATAACATCATGCAATTACAGAGTTAAAGAAAAGACGGCAATTATTTAACATGATATCCGTTGGCACGGTGAAAATGTATTTCGCACTTACTCGACATGTTTCAGGCTAAAGTTGCCAGCTCCAGAAACTTTGATGTCCTTACCCACAGCCTGGAATGCTCGGCTGTTGCTTCCCACTGGTGGGGCTATCTGCCAAAAAAAATCACAAATTTTATTTTCATAAAATATTGATTGTGATATTGTATTTAGGTTAACCATTTCTGTAGTTGTTTTCGAGATTATTAGAAAAGTAATCATCGTATTTTTTGTATATAAAATGAACAATTCATTTGTTTTACCGTTTACGTAATTAAATGAATGCTATTTAAGCTCAGGTGGGAAATAAGACTTATAGCAAGGAAGCTGTGATCAATTGAAATCCACATAATAAATATTCAATGTTTCAAACGACTTATAAATAATTCTTTGTATAAACACAACATAGTCACGCCATATTGCTTTCAACCAGTTAATCATTGTTTCTATATGTTTACGATTCGTGCGGAAAATTTTTAAATGATTAATTATGAGTATTAAGTTTTTAAAATATAATTATTCTTTAAATTTCATTCTAAATCAAAAACAAATATAGAAACAAAAAAGAATCTGAAATATTGAATCTAATAGTTAAGTAAATTTCCAAAATTGTTTCGGTAATTATCGTGGTTACGTAGTACATATATTTCTTTTCCAATAAGTAACTACTCAATTATAACTACATTAAGAAAAAAATCTATTTATAGTCTTATTTACTAGATTTTTTTAGTATTTTACACTGTATTGTTGTCGGCGTCTATCACTGTTAAAATCTAATGTTAAAGTTAAAAGAATGTGACAATAATTCACACTTTAATTTATGTTAATTGTTATTTACCTCGATTTAATTTCTATATAAGCAATTTAAAATATACATCCTTATTTCTATAATTACATATAGTCTTAAATCTATAATATGATATAAAATAAAGTATTAAAAAAACGAATAATTCACTAAAATATGTTAATAAAAGGTGTCCCTTTAGGCAAGGTCCATTGTTATTTAGTTCATTTGAAATTTGCTAATACTTCATGCAATCATTCCAACTAACCTCTACTAGGCTTGGCGATTGGCGGGAATCGAACACAAAACCAATGTCCGTGTATTTTAATCAACTTCCAACCTTAAGTTACGCTATTTCCGTCATGTGGAATTATTACTTTAAATGTATATATTTATAAATACCTCATGAATATAGAAGGGGTCAAGACTAGGCACATTGAGCTCGGGAATGCCCTCCACCAGCTTTGGTCGCAGCTTCTCAATGGAGTCGCGAACGCACTCGTTCACGGTGTCCTGATCACGCTTGCATACTTGGATGTACTCCGCTACGACAAAAAATATTTAACTGACAAACGGTGTCATTAAGCGCTCACTAATCGTGAGTTTTTGACGCCAAAATCACTGTATAAAATATATCGTCATACGCTGTATGCATTTCCGATACCAAATTCTCTGGATAAAATACATTGTCACCCTTGTCTTTCATCTTAGATGAAACAGAGATAACAATATATTTTATACGGAGATTTTGAATTCACAAACCCATGGTAGATAGTGTAGTTTTTGTTGTGAGTAATTTTAATGAGAATTTGGTTGATAAATCTTCAATAGTCGTGATTACAAGTGAATTTCCGTAGGCTAGTTATGACCGAATAATATGGCATGTACTTAATCGTTCACTACGTATCCTATAACATTATCGCTCCTGCAATCAAGTAGATAATGAACCATTGCTTCCTACACAACAATTACTAAGTACCAATAACTTGTTAGTACGGTTATACAATTTTTTCATCAGATATTGCCTTCATTGGGATCGTAAAATGTGTGAAAGGACAAATTATTATATTGACACTGGAGTAGGTTACCTCAATTTTCTTACTACAAACGGACGAAGTCGCGAACGACAATATAGTACCCAATTGTCAATTATATTAAGATAGACAGCTTGAAATGATGTTAAGAACGGCGTTAGACTACTCAAGTGTCTATGGTTCACAGTGGAAGAAGCCATGCTATTAAATTATATGTGATTTGTCGACCCTGACCCTAAAATTCAGTCCTCTGTGGTGTACATATATGTTTACAATGCAATTCAATAACATGTTGCAATTTTCGTTTAAATTAAATTGAGTTATTTCTTACTTTTTAGAATCCACATATAACTTCTAGAATTCGGTACCGGTACAAACGAATTTATTTAATTTAATTGCATTAATATTATACAATAATAAATAAGGCTAATTTAATTTAATATTTTTTTTCAAGATGCATACATAAAATGTTGTTTTAATTAATTTTTTATATCCGACTTCTTGCTAATGTTATAAATACGATTGTTTGGATCGGCTGCATGGCTACCGCTGAAAATTGGGATAGAAGTAGCACTTAGTCTAGAAGAACGCATAGTCTACTAATTAAGTTTTATTTAATCAAAGGGACAGGTAGTCAGTCATTTAGGAAACCAGGGATGCCAAATCGCAACAATGAAAATCCGTGGTTCCTGTTCTTGGGTCCTTTGAGCTACGGGCATGGGCGTAACTGTTTTTGTTTATTTAAAAAATAAAAATGACATTTACGAAACCGGAAAAAACATTAAGAATATAATTAAATTTTGAATAAGTTAAAATGATTATTAGAATGAATTATTAATAGTGTAAATGAATTATTACCAAAAAAAATGTAAACTTACGTATTTTGGAATAACATTGCTCATGACAAGTTAATATCACAAATAGAAAAACTATAAATTTATTACGGGACAGCATTTTAAAACAAATTATATGCAGAAAGATGAAATAACCGACTATGACAAAGGCTAAATAAGCACTATGCAGTCGTGTACGATGTACGATTATTATATATGTCGGCATATGAAATAGGTTATTATTAACAAGTTCAAGGCAACTGCATCGTGCACAAATAACATACATCATCAAAACATTACTATTAATAATAGACATTTTTATTTTGATTTAAGCGTTGTTAAATGACTCTTTTAACACGAAAGAATAGTTCCAGCTATTTTACATACTTTTTAAAACTCTCTTTTTCAATATCGCTCACCTGCGATTTCGTCAGCTTAATATTAAAGAGCCTATAGCACCCATCAGATACCTTATCGTTAAACTTTATACTTAACACAAATACTTTTCCAATACTTTAAACAATTACAATTAATATCTGTAAGAAAGTTCACACTCGACAGTCGAAACAAAAAATACGATCAAAATAAAATAGCATACGCCCAGAGTCAAACGGCTGAAGTTATTAGAGACACATTTTTGGATAGAAGATTACCTACTTTCTTACGAAGAAAGTGTTTTGAATTATTAGATGTAGAGACATACAATACATGTAGATTTAGGGTGTCAATTTTTAGGGTTCCGTACGTCATAGGAAAAAAACGGAACCCTTATAGGATCACTTTGTTGTCCGTTCGTCTGTCAAGACCCTTTTTTTGGTATTAAAAACTTAAGCATGGTAAGACCTCGGGTATAATTTGCTAGTGACATATTATTTTAGACTGTTGTCCCACACTGAGCCCATGGCTGGCAACGCTATGACTCCACATACATAAAAATAACTTACGACATATCTGCTATAATAAATCTCTTATATCAAGATGTCAGTATTTTTCGAACTAGATGTTCAAGGTAACTTTGTAAAAACCAAACAAGGAAAACTTCTAACTGTGGAAAATTTTTATTTTTTATTTGGACATCGCAAAAAAGTACAAATTTGTAACTAAATGACCTTGCAATAATATTTGATGCTAGCGGTAGCCCGCGACTTCGCCAGCGCAGAAGTACGTAGCCTAAGTTCCTCCATCACTTATAACTTTCCAATAAAAGTCGCTCTATCATCAAATACCGGATTAAAAGGCAATTACCGGAGAGGTAGACAGACAAAAAATATAAAAATTGCATTTTTCTCATGAGTAAAGCAAATACATTGTGTTCGCGATTTTTTTTTATGTTACATACAGACACTGCAATTTAGTTTTTTTTTATAGATAGATGTTTTATGTGATAGGTACAGAACACAATTACTACCTAGTTTAATTACTTAAGCTAATCTAGTTAATTTTTTGAATGCATTTAGAACAGAGTAAAGCATGGAGAAGCATGTTTTGTATTATTTTCGTAAAATTAGATTAGAAATTGTATCTAACCTCTAAAGTCTGAAATATTTTTGGGGAATTAAAATTCACAAAAAAATCATAATTTTCTGAATAGATCGCAAAATTAAAAGGTCAGACGAAGGTAATGATAATGAAATGAAGGTTATTTGTATATATCCTACTATTGTTTAATCTGCTGCAATATTTATAACTGAGACGATGGCCTTAGTGACGCACATTTTAATTACTATCCGGTGACCGTTAGCGCTAAGTAAATTGAAAAAAGAACAGAAGGGCTCAGAAATAACAAGATAATTCTCATGTATTATGACAAATAATTTACTTAAAGGAATGAAAAGAGTTAAAACTTATAATCCAAAATAAGCACAAATTTGAAACTAATCTTACTAATATTATAAATGCGAATGTTTGGATAGATGGATTGGTAAATGTTTGTTTGTTTGAAAGTATCTCTGGAACGGCTCAATGAACATTGATACAATTTGGCACAGTTGTAGAACATAGCCTTTAAAAACACATAAGCTAACTATTAAGTTTTTTTAATTCGGCACGGACAGAGTCGCGGGCGACAGCTAGTCAGATATAAGTTCATTCGCTAATGATGTTAAGACTTATAACGTTTAATGTGTACTTTGCACTTGGGTATTTAAATACAATTTATCATTGCGGTCAAAAATGAGGTAATTTGTTTTTTATTTCAGTTTTGCAGCGGTAAAAACTTATTATTATGCATTATTTGATTAAAATTTGTATACGCCTTAGAAAATAATATAGCAAAATATACTTACGTATATCCAAATGCACGTAACAACAAAATATTCCTGCGTTAAATAGATGTAAAATAATATTTAGATGAATTAGATTAGAAAACATTTTGTTATAAAATAAACAAATTAAAAATAATTTGTTTTTAAATAATAAATCAAAAATGTTAAACTTTAAAAATAAATTTGCCTTTAAAAGATAACAGCTTGATAACTATTATGCGACCAAGTTCAAATGTTGGGTATTTTATAGAGTGGCATTAGAAGCACTTCATTGTTAACAAGATCAAGGTATAGGCCGAGGCGAAATGGAGGCTTCAGATACTTATTAAAGAAAAATTAATTACAAAGTCGCATCGGAAACATGAAGGAAATTCATTGACCTAATTTCTTCTAGAAGAAAATACATTGAATTTTCCTAAACAAACTCAACCCATAAAACACATCAACGTTTTTTTTAAATGCTTAAACTAATAAAATAGATTCCAGCTCGATATCTTCACGCATTTTTGAGAAAAAGGGTCTTGACAGACGGACGAACGGACGACAAAGTGATCCTATAAGGGTTCCGTTTTTTTCCTATGAGGTAAGGAACCCTGAAAACACCAAACAGATCTACCTATTGAATTTATTTAAGTGATTAGGTCTACGTATATTATGTTCTGATACTGACGTCACTGAGGAACAGAAAAACAATTTTCCAAGCGAGGTGATTTTATACTTTAAAAAAAGGATGATTTAACAGTTGCAATATATAATTATAAATAATTAATGGCTTCCTTAAAAATATTACTTTGGTTTTTGTAAGATTATTCTGTTCCTAAATATTACGGCCTTACAATAACAAGATGATTCAATTGCCAAGTGCCGTTTGTCCTTAATCACAACTCTATGTTTTACCTTATTTGCCCTTCAACTACTTAAGCCTTTGTATGTTTAACCTGCAACGAGTTAACTAGTTAAAAGGTACATGAAGTTAATTGGAAATGTACTTGATAATGCTATTGACCCATAAATCATATTTTAATACATATAAACGTGGGTTGCCACAGCAAAAACTTAAATTAATATTTATACACTCATCTCTGTTTTATTTAGAGATAATGAAATAGATGCCAAATCTGGTTTGTATGATTTGCAGTGGAAACCTTCGTTTACAGAGACATCACGTCTTGAAACAAACGAAGTCATACGAGTACAAAACAAACAGAAATCTCAATCATTTGGACGTCATTGATTATGACATTATTACTTACGTAAGAAACAAGCCATAAACTTACTTAGAACTAAATAAAAACATCAAAGGAACAAAGGTTAATACAAAATAACTAATGAGGTTTTATTCTTTATCAAAATAAGGTATCTAACACAGTTTTTAATTCAATTATTACTAGTTAGTATTACTACAATTAATTGTTACATTCTTTGTAACTCAAGTAAAAGATTCAACCAAAAGAATTTATCAAACTTATCATTTTTAATTTATAACTGATGTTACCAACGAAATATTATAACGTATCCGGTGACATTTTCCTAGTATTATTTATAACAATTTATATAACGCTCATAAATCAAATGCAAAGCTGGGTTGTCACAACTGCGTTTGTATTCCAACCGTTATTAAGTACAAGGTAGTAATAATACAAAATTAATATTTATCATGGTATAAATTCAATATTTAAATTTATATACACATATAGAACAAACGGAATAACTGCCTAATTTAAGTTTTATTACCTTCTTCAAAATTACATTGTTATTTTGAAGATGATAAAACTTATGTTATTTACAAAAACAACTGAATAACTATTTTGTTATTTTTTTAATCGATGCTTCATGCAATGAAAGTGGCTAACGCAATTTATTTGCTTTGTTAACGATCAGAGGAACCAAATTTTTAGTAAAAAAATTATCGTCGATGGGGTAACCAGCGCAGCGAAGAGATAAAAAATAATCACGACAAACATGATAAACGCCATCTATCGTGTTACTTAAAAACTATTCAATTAAATTGATACATATGAAATCCGTGTTGTTTTAAACCTCTTAATGGCAGATGTCGCTGTCATGCGATAAACCAAGGTTTAAGATTAAAATAATCCTGTCTTAATACCAAATTACGAAATTTTCAAAAACATCGAAGAAGTTTTAAGGTTTATCCATAGTAACAACAGATTTAATTATAATGATTCATCCGACGGAAAGAGTATCCATATATGTCTCTGAGTATGATAAGGACAGGGACCGGTTCCTGAAACACAGATCTCAGCCCTAGTCCAGGAGCCAAGGATCCCACATCACTGTGTAAATAAGTGTAACAATATGCCATTTATTTATTTATCAACGTATTTCATCGAAATACAATGTTATCGTTGAACCGCTAATAGTTTTGTGTGGTCACATCACATAGTAAATGTGTAGCTTTTAACATTCAAGGCTATGTTAAGTAAAACACGAGAACTACGCGACAGCAAAATAACAATATTGTGATAAATTTTAAATATTGACATTTATTAACTGACGTTTTCGCATGATCGTTTAATTTCAAATTAAATCTTCACCAAAACATTAGTGGCAAAAAATATTTATGACGTATAATAGTACACTTAAGTAATGAACCTAAAGATAATGATTTATTCAGTTGTTTTTCTTTCATATTCAATGCACAAAAAATGCAACCATTTATCATAAAGCATAATATTAATAAAAGCATAAAAGCAATCATTATTATACAGAATGACGCCGAAAATCTTAAGTAATTTGTAGTAATTATTAAAATACCCATCATTTTAAAAATATGTTTACATCTACAGTGCTCAACGGAAACTAAATTTGATTCATTATGATTGTGTACATTGACAAAAGTGACGTATACAGATAAGCCGGGAACTATGACCCCTGTACGATCGGGAATACAGTCCAGTTGATATTATTGTGCTCCAGCGGTACGTCAATTGTGAATGCGTTATGTGGAAGTGCTGTGCGATTTTATCTGTTCTATTAATTCTTGTATTTGGACAAGGTATGTTATTTAAATATACTGTTATTTCTAATAACTTCAGGATTTTAGATAGCTTTTGTCACGTTTATACCATTTTTTTGTAACCATTTAACGGCCATGTTATGTCATGTGTAATCATTTTTTATCTGACATTTATGCCTTATATTATAATAGTAGCCTAGCATGGACTATCTCACTGGCGCCAGTTAGTGGATACATTATTCCAGTTGTAGACCAGCGCTGATGTTGAACGGTGCTGTTCTATGTAAAGCAAGCATTACTACATATTTTTCAAACTATAATATTTCTTTCGTAAACGGTATATGATTAATGGTGAAATGAATTCAAATATTGTCTTGATCAACATGTTTTCGGTAATGCAAAATATTGTTTGAGTTGTTTATGCAAATAAAATGTTTAAAGTATGATTCCAACATGATAACCAATATGACAACAGCATTCATATAAATTTAAATGTAAATAACGTGTTTTTTTTATCGACACTGGTCTATGCTTACAGATGATATTGAGAACACGACAACTGATTCAAAACTGGTGGAAGGAGAGAAAAAAATGAGCGATCAGATCCTGGTTATACTTGAGCATTTCAAGCAACCCAATCCAGTTGGGATTCCCGGAGCTGAAGTACCCGACCCATACCCAGTACCCGATATGAAGCAATCCCTGTCCCTTGGTACTTTATATTTTAAAAACACTGCCGTATATGGAATAAGTAAATTCAGAATTTTATACGTAAACGCAGAAATAGGAGCTATGGAGGTAAGTTTTAAGTAATCTTTTATTATCGTGACCCGCAGTTATTGGTATTTTAGAAATAATTTTTATAGATTTTGAGAATTTTGAATAAACGATATGAATCGACTTATAAAATCTTTACATAATGCAAATCCTGTACTAGATTCTAATCTTCTAAAACCTGTTTCTAAATTACAGGTTAACGCTGCATTAGCAATAGACAAATTACAAGCTCGAGGTAACTACACTCTATCTACGTGGCTGAACAGGGCCCAAGGACCATTCACTGTTGACATTTCTGGTCTTAAAATAATAGCTAAAGCAACATTGGGCGTCGAGAGAGATGGAAAACTACAAGCCCAAAGTATAACTATAGATTTAGGATTCAGCAACATTGCTGTGAATTTCGAAAATTTGGGTTTCTTTGGCAGTATGTTCCAAGGAATCGTAAACTCAGTGGGCACATTCCTATTTGATTCTATCAAACCCTATGTACTTAAGGAAGCCTACACTAAAGCACGCGCTGCTATCAACGAGAAATTGGATGAAGTTGCTGGCGATATGCAATTCCCTAATTCCATATCGCCATTGGATATGGTAATAGCCGACGCACGAAAAAAGGTGAGGCAAATGGATCTTGATCCTTATAAAGTTAAGGATTATAATACCACAGTCAGTGTGTTCACCATCACCTTAGATCATACTTGGATTATGGGTATATCCTCTTTCCAACGTGTAGGCAACATAACTCTAAAATTAGAGAACAACACAGTCATAGCTGACTTTGAAATTGGAACACAGAAATTGCAAGGAGTCACGCAATGGGAGATATCAGCAATCAGTGGTCTGATGTCAAGAGCGGGTACGGCCTCCTTCTCAGTTGAATACATAAGTGGCAGATTAGTACTCGCTCAACCACTGGACACGAGGAAACAACCTCAATTCAGAGATTTAGATCTCGAAGTAGGTAACATTCAAGTTCGTTTCGACGGCGCGGGTACATTAGATTACATCGTCGAGTTCGCAGTAAACGTACTTCCAAATCTGCTAAGATATCAAATAATGGACGCGATAGAGGGTCCTCTAAAAGAGAGACTTCAACAAGAGCTAAATAAGGTCAATGTGGAAGAAATGATAAAACAAGAATTACCTAAGATAGATGATATACAAGAGAAAGGATTGAAGCTGTCGGCGCTACGTGTTGCAGAAACTCAAGACGAACCGTACGATGAAGATGATTTTTTTAATTTTTAGTATACAAATTTGAATAAATGTTTAAAAATCACTGAAGTTATTTTGTAGTTATTATAATATATATTACATTTTATTAATGTTTTAAATGATTGTAAATACATAATTAAATATCAAAAACATTTAATTTTCCTTCTTCTTTCGTCAGTTCCTAACTATATATACGTGATTCTCGAGCGATTAAAAAAGTACAAAACGGTTGTCAATATAAAAACCGGTAGGTAACGGTTTAGTCGAGATTCGAATCCGAAGAAGGGATACGATTGTAACTGCACCTTGCAACTTGACATTGCGATTCAATTCGATGTTTTGTAATTAATTTATAGACTTTTGTGTTATTTAATAATTATTTTTTATGGTAACCCCTCTGTTTGGGTCTTCTTCGATCCCTTCAATGTAAACATATAAGCAGATGACGAATTTATGATAAGATATTTTTGTAAAAGATAGGGAGTTAATTATTCGACAACTTATAACGTTCAAAATATGACTATTATGTTTAGGATTTTTTCCTTTAAATATTGTTAGTGGACACATATTTAATATTCAACTTTTGGCAAACAACCAACACTAATCGCTGTCATACAAAGTGCATGTTAAATACAAAATGCCGTATAACTACTTACAATAAAATAAAAACAATCAAAAACAGGCTTCGTTGTCGCATCCCGCTCGTTGGAAAGTCTGCAGAGCCTGCAAACCGTCACCATTGCTCCCGCCGTGGCAGTAAGCGTCGCACGTGCGGCAGACTTAAAAACTGTCTGGTTTATCTTTTTAATTTTTTTTTTGTAAAAGGTCTTAATTTTCATTTTGTAAGGCCAGTGTTTTATTTTTTAAAAATGAAGAGGTTTCAAGCTTTACTAGTTTTTGCGGCAGTGATAACAACGGGAACGTCGAACACAAGTAAGTGACTATAGAAGAAAGTAGACGGACCAGTGCGAGGGATATTTGTGTCAAATTTATAGCCTGTTAACAATCTCTTTATCGTCCATTCTGCTGGTACCGTTGTAATTTTTTTATTTTTTTCTGATCCATTTACAATGTAACTCGCACTGGCAGCTCGCTACTTGAGATAAGCTTTAAAATAAAAATTGGTGTTGAAAAGGGAGTTAGTGTATTGTTATTTGATATACCGATTATTTACATTCTAAATAATTAAAAAAAAACATTGTCTTACTAAGAAAAAAGTTTTATACATAAAGTTGTTTAATACTAATGTTTATGTAAACTTTCAAATAGGTTTCTGTCAAAAACAATTAAAACCGTATGCGGCTTCAAAAGAGCTTCGTAATTTTAACCGGTGAACGACCTATTACGCCTACATCAAATGGAAAAACCAAAAACAAAAATTAAAAAAAAAATGTTTGACTGACTTTGAGAAACCAGTTGCACATTTAAGGAATTTTAATTTTTTAATTTTTTATTTTCATAGTAACCGTGATAGTATTTTTTTTGTCGGTAATGGTCGGAAACTATTAAAAACAATATTTTTCCTTAAAGAAAGCGAAGCGTGAAAGCATTTATGAGTCGAGTCATTCAGTAAATTTTTTACACTCTCTATATTTACGTAACCTACATTCCGACATCGAGAGTAAGGAACTAATAATATTTTTGAAGTTTCTTAATTAACTTTACTTTTACTGCTTACGAAGTCTAGATCGAGCAATAGTAAAGCTCTAACAATCATTCAAATTAGATTTTAAAAAATCCTTAGTGTCTTTTAGTACATTCGACATTTTACACGTAGCATATTCCAATCTGCTACCGTGTTACATGTAAGGCAAATATAGTTATATATAACACAAACAAAAGGAGAAAAAAGAAAAAATCAAACCAATTACAATTAAGCGTTGCAATGCAGAACAGATAGGACCTTTGCTCAGCTGTATGTTTATTACCCCGGGGGGGCAAAAACAGTGATATTCTGGAAAAGCCTTTACGTCCTCAGTACGTCAATTACAGCAATTAATAACATGAATGAAGTTATTACCTACAACTAAATATTCCATTCGCAAATGCGGGCCAATATTTCAAGTAGAGGTTGACTTCTTCATCCACATCGTTGAATTTCTTGAAAATACAAGTAGTTTTTCTCGAAATATTTTCCTTCACCTTAAGAAGTACATTATTGTAAAATATTTGCTTACTAATGTCATGTCAACGGAAGTTAAAAGTATGTTGATTTTGACAAAAATCAACCTTGATACATTATTGATATAACCTTCGTTTTAGTTAAAAATTAACCTTCATATTGAATAAATATCGCACATTGAAGTATTAACTAAATATTAATTCTACAAAATAATATTTATTAACATATATTGAATTTAAAAACACTTATAAACAAACGAATGGCCTATTGGTATTAATTCATCTGTTTGTCTTATTTCCTGACACGATTAATACAAGAAAGTATTAAAAAGTGTGTTCATTAAAATGCTAAAATAAAAAAAAATACGACATTAATGAAAAAAAACATTTCATCTTTAGCCAAATTCATATAATTCATTTAATTGCGTTATAAAGCAACAATATAGCCATAAATTAAATTTTACGTAATTTTTAGACTCGCGAAAGCGCAAAAAAGTAGAAATGAGAAAATACAGATTACGTTAAATAATGCAAAATGTCGAGCACGTAATTAGGAGTACAGACAACAAAAGTTTTTACTATTTATTTACAGCCAGTGTTAATTACAATCTTACTAATATTATAAACGCGAAAGTTGGGATGGATGGAATTTTGTTTGAAGGTATCTCCAGAACCGATAAACAGATGTCGCTGAAAACTATGATCTGCCTCATATAGGATTCTAATTAATCTATTTTTTTTAACTCCGAGTGGACGGAGTCGCGGGTGACAGCTAGTTATTAAATAAAACAACATAAGTGTACATTAAAATATAATTTATGAATGCACATAACAAACTGAAAAGTACGTAAGTACATATGTATGTACATAGAGTTTTTAGTGCTATAGTTAAAGTTCTGCAATATTGTAGCTGTACGTAATAAACATGCACAAGAAAGAACCTATTTAACCTATATATATATTGTGTCTTGTTACACCTATGACTTAATATTTATATAACATGTTATGTATAGTGATTACTATTGAAAACTAGGCCATATAGTAAACATGAGTAAATATATTCAATTTATTGTCAACTTTTAATGAACTTTAACTTTGTTAAATGTTAAATTTCTTGCTCTTATTTCGATATTTCATTTATCAAGCTACTAATATTCTATTTCCTTTATATTTGAAATTGACTTATTTAAGTCTTCTAGACGCTATTACCTTAAAATTTGTCACTACTAATATAAACTTTATCCGATAGTTACCATAATAGGAAACTATGTATATACATAATTGTGTAAAGTATATGTACTTGTATATAAAGTTTACCTATACAACATTAGCTATACAAATAAACTACAAATGTATAAACAAAAGAACAATTATTTACTTTAATAATAACGTCAAGAATATAAAGTAACTTTATGTATTAATATATTATGAATCCTTTAAAAAAGATCACGTTTTTTACAAGTTGTAAAGTAACAAAACATATTAAAGTGTTAACTTTTATATTTCTTCTAATCGTGACAAGCTTAAGGAAATATGCAACAAATAATTTCATTCACTGAAATAATCACGTATTAGAATTAAATAAGATATTCTTGTAAGCCATCCAGCACATGACTTGCATCACTATTGTTCATTATCGTCTACTCTTACCTGTTATTTATGCTTTCTGACAATTACCGAAGAACAAATTTGAATTTACGTCATAGTATTCCTGATATCAAGACGTGGATGACGTCATTGCTACGTGTTCAGCTTAGCTCTAACATCTTACTAAAAATTCACAAATAACAAGGAAAATATATTTTTAGAAGATTGTTGGATTGATAGCGTCATATATACGAAGTTGTGTGACTCAATTATTGTAATAAATTAGACGACGAACTACGAGAAACCTATTTGTACTTTCATAGTATATTCCACATCTGTACCAAATTTTATCGAGATCCTTTGACTCGTTCCGGAGATTTCTTTTAAGAAACACCCATACATAAAGCTTTCAAATTCACAGAAAAATTAAATGCAGATTAAGTGTGAAAGCAAATTTACTTCTTTGACGAAACGGTTAATTTAAAGTAAGCCATATTCTCTTCCATTTAGGATCTGAGCTTATTAGGCGCACACAATTTGTACAACTGTTTATTTCCAAAGTATTTGTTTTAAATATAGGCAATAAAGATATGCAAAATACTTTCTTAAGTGATTGTTATTTCCGGAATGCGCATATCTTAACATTTTTAGGTTAGTTCTTCTAAGGAGGTCACTAATAATATTTGAAAAACATTTTTTGTGATTCGAATCGGTTATATCATCTTATGATCGCGCATATATTAGCTTATCTTTCCTAAATGCTTGATTGCATTCAAATAATCTTTTATACGGGTAGTTAATTCACTTAATTACAGATAATTGCAAAGCTTTTTGTACCCGCTTGTATTGACCGTGGCTCCTTCGTTAGCGGTGAACGGTATCTGATGGCTCGGAGTTTCGCGGACGAGGCTCCTGCACGCCGGTCAATGACCTTTATACTTTTTATTATAAAACGTGCTGTGTTGTGTTTAACGGGAAAAATAATTAAAAAAAAAAACAAGTTTCAAGAGTTCAGATATAATCTGCCTATAAAAGTAAAGTAATTATAAATTAGTGTCAATAAAAATGTTTAGTTCCTAAATAATTTGACTGAAATTTATCAAACTTAAAAACATTGTACAAATATTAGAAATTCCATTATTTGGATGGATTGATGTTTGTTAGAAGGTGTCTCCGGAACAGCTAAAAGGATCTTGACTAAATTTGACAATTATGTAGAACATAGGCTGAAAAGAAAACAGAGATTACTAATTAAATTTTTACTATTCCACGCAGACGGAGAGAGGCGACAGCTAGCCTACTATAAACATAACAATACCTCTAACATAGAGTACTTTAGCGTCCCTAACATTCTTAATCACTTATTGTTTATTACAGGAAATAATTCCCAGACAATAAAGCATTTACAATACTTCCCCATACTCATTGTCAGGCTATCAATATATCTTTATTGTTTCGGCAATCAATGCGGCTTGACGAGCGCGTTTCTACCGTTACTCGTAAGCTGCCCGCATACTAATGTCTGATAAATGTCAATGAAAGTAGTCAGCTGACCGAATATTAGATCCCATCAATGTGTTACGATGACCTTCCTTATTGTTTCAATGCCTTCTAAACTATGCTATCCTGGTACTATATTATTTTTTTACACTTGAATTGAAGTATTCTTGTTATTTACCGTAGACTTTGATTGTCATGACGTTGTCAATAAGAAAATATTGTGGTCTCTATTTTGTTAAACAGAATGAAAGGGATGCCGATACGTATTAATGTATCAAAAGTTTGTAGTTATAAAGTTAATTTTTAATTAGTCAATATTTGATACCGCGAGATCCTACGGTGTGTCTTATTGTATGTTTACAATAATATTCCAAGTATAATAAAATAGTATTTGATTTAACAATCAACACTATGACTATAGAAAGTGTTAGTTTCTATTTCTTGAGTATGAATCATCATTATCACATATAACTTTAGCTTTCAAATCAATTAGTTGCATATTTTTTTAATATGAGTTGCATCACTACAATCTATCAAATGCAAAATAATAAAAACATTCATTTAATCTGTCTGTCACTATTTATTATGCTTTCCACTAATTGTGAGTCTCCACTGACAAAATACTTGTATAACTACATATTTACATCCCACTCATTCTTTTTGAAAAATCAAAGATAGCGATATGTTTTAATATTAATGTTTATGTATGTATGTATGTATGTATATTTGATATGTTTTAATATTACGTTAAAAAGTAATGAACTAATGAATTGTCTCAGGTATGTTCGGCGAACGCTGCTCGCGGCAGGACCCCGAAGTCGACGAATGTCTCCTGCGCAGCTTCAACTCTTTAGTGGAATATCTTAAAGGCGGAGCGCCACAACTTGGAATTGAAGAGGTACATCACAAATATAACAATAACATCGTCCATGCTACAACCACAAGTCGACTGGAATGTACCCTGCAATGTTATTGCCAGAAAAAGTAGCCAACGTTATGGCAAACATATCCCTATCTATCTCCTTTAACTCTTTTCTTCTTCAAACAAATTATTAGAATTATTTTCAACACATAAAAATAAAAAATTATTAATTACTGTATATTAGCCCTTCAGTAATGAAGAATTCGAAAAATAAAAAGAAGATTAGCTCTACTTTCTACATACTATAAACAATTTTACACATTTTTAAGAAAAATAACAGTGAATAACTGCAAAAGGTTCTTTTAAATTCATTGAAGATTGGAATAGGATTTACAAGATAATAATGATGGTTTATTGACAGTCGGACAGCATTGTTATCGACGAGCTGTCTATCGCGCTGGGCGGCGGGCCGGACGGCTACCGCGCAACATTTAAAGACATCCACGCCAGCGGCGTTAACAACATGACCATAACCAACGTCAGGTAACAATCCTCCATAATCCTTAAAAACAAAAGCACTGCTTATACACATATATACATACTAAGCGTTTACACTGCAGAATCTGTGTTAAACATAATAACTTGTGTTTTAAATTATTTTTCTCATTGTATCAGTAACTTTGAAATTCTGAAAGCACGTTTGTTTACTGCTTGTGTTGACTCTTATCACAACACTATTGTTACTATCAAATAGTTTCTATGTAACGCGTGGTATGCGAATTGTGTAACAATGCAACGATTCACTATTATCTTCTAGCTATCGACTTTCTGGAAAACATCTAAGTTGCATGCACATTGTAACTATTGTATGCAATATTATTTGTGTTAATTTTCTTCTATTTATTGCATATTACTCTTTTTTATAATTGTGTTTGAGACTATGTTAAGTTTTTCTATCCATATATAATAACATATAAAAAAGAGTAAACTGTCGATAAATATTTGAAATCAAAACAATATTAGTTAACTTAAACAAAGAGAGAACATAACAGAACGTTGTAGATTATAATCAAAGAACATAACCACGAAGTAGGAAAGGAATTTATCGGTAAATCAAAAGAATTCTAAACAAAGCAATCGCTAAATATCTGTCGCTGTTTGTAATATTAACAATAAACATGACTGCATCAATTGGAATCTTTGATTTTCTTTCTTAAGTTAATATATTCTAGGCACGTAGCCGACGACTTACGGGTCGAATGTCCAAACAAATCGTCATCATCCTTTCACGGACGATGTCAACGGACAAAGATATAACTCATAATTATTGGCAGACATATCATATTTACAATGTACATAGAAAACACATGAATAGGATAAACACATAATAAATTATTTATACTCCACGTTATACGTCTTTAACTAAGCATTAAATTATTTACCTAGCCTAGGTTTATGGTGTCACGAGTAGGTACATTTTGGCGATATCATAAAATGAAAGTCATCACACATTTATGTAGACTTCGGTGCCCACAAGCATGTATTATATGTTTTGAGATTTACTGTACAACATCCAATATCATCTTATGTTGATTAGGCATTTTCATGTGGTTTTCACTTATTACTTTTTAGATAACTATGGTTTATGACTTGTATTCGATTTATTCGTGATTATACGGTAGCAGTACTCTTTAGTGCCGGAAGGGTAAACTCACAGAACAATACTAGTGTTTCTTCGATGTTAATACATCAGACAATTTTGTATTTGTGGCCAGTCATATATTATGCCTCCACCGATAGACTTGGAGCCTGCCCTTAGCTATAAGTGACTTCTATTTTTACCTTACATTTAAATATATACCATTGTCATAGATCGGACCTGGACACACATCAGTTCCAGCTGACACTGTACGGACCTCACATCAGCGCGCGCGCTCGCTATCGCTCCTCAGGAGTTTTGTTGCTGGTGCGTGCATCAGGAGGGGGTGACTACTGGGGTGAATACGGTACGTAAAAAGGGTAACTAACAGCTATACTAAAATGAACTCGTTGACTTGAGTTTTCATTACCGAATCATTTGTACAATTTTTTATCGTATTTATTACAATGAAATATTCATAATATCCCGTGTCCATATTATACTCAGGTCAGTCAGGTCGGCGCACAACGTTTTATAACCTTAAAATTGCCTGTTGCCACTTGCCACCTGCATGTCGCCAACCTTACTTATGAGTGTAGAAATAATCTGTTTGTTCAAACTTAATCTGTTTTAACATTTGTACGACTAAGACTTAGGAAGTTGTTTTTATATTAAAAAAGCGTTTAAAGATTATTTTAACAAGAAATATAAACATAGTGTATTGACAGTCATCGACGTGCGTTTGGAAATGACCGAGGTGTCATCAAAATAAATATTTTGCAAGGAAACTTTAAACTGGTGATAATTCTCAGTACCGATGACATTGTGTGTGCGTTAATTAAATATTGCAGGTAAAAAATAATGAATTTCAAAACTTCCTTTTTACTTTAAACCTACGATATTATTATCATCTTATTATTTTTATTATGTTATATGACGATAGGCTTACAATCGTACCCAATGTTAAAAAATTGTGGAAAAAGGAAAGTTATTTTTCAATTACTTTAGTTTACTGTATAATAGATGGCGCTAATTCCAACAATTTATTAAAGTTTAATGCAACACTGGTTGCTTTACATCCTAACTAGATAGTAACCATAAAGAAGAGAAGATTAAAAAGGCAAATACATAAATGTTAAAGAAAATGTTAAATTTTCCTTTCCAGACGGTGTGAAGGCGAAAGTGTACTTCCGCGGAACGCCATACACAAGAAACAAGCGCACTTACCTTAAGCTGCAGCAACTCAAGTTGGACTTCTCCGTCAGGGACATACAGATGGGCGTCGAAAACTTGCAGAACAGTAACGCAGTGCTACGTAAGACTTTGAACTAGCATATACTTTAGGACGTAAAATAAGCTTTTATAATGTAAAGCTCTATATTACAAATGCTTATCCCTGCTTGTGTTTAATTTTTTCCTGCAAACTGCAAAAAAATATCAGTTATTTTTTATTTTATTTGTGTTAGACAATAAATAAAACATTTGATTTTTAAAATCAACAGAAGCAGCATTAAATCTGTTCATCAACACAAACGCACAAGAGCTACTCAAGGAGATGAAGCCGGAGCTGAGGCGCGACCTGGCGGCCAAGATGTCGCACTTCCTCGAACGCATCCTCGATCAGATCCCCTACGACGACTGGGTCAAAGACTAAATCTAAACACTATTGGAATGAATTATTTGTATATTCCATTACATAGAGAATAATAACAAAGACATGAATAAAAAAATCTAGTAGTAAATAAAGTCTATATGACCCAGGGATAGTGTAGTGTAGCTTTCCAACAGAGAAAGAATTTTACAAATCGGTTGAGTAGTTTCGGAGCCTATACAATGCAAACATATCTTTCCTCTTTACAATATTAGTATAGATAATTATTTTGCTTTGACCCAGTGTACAAATATATTTAAAAATTAAATATATTTCAATATAAGCTTATTTCTTAACGTAGACAAGTTGTGGTAACTTGTAAGTAATTTATTTTTACAAACTCGATTAGGTACATAAGTTTGATTTTAGGCGATTTATATGTATCGATTAATTGTCGACAATATAACATCAATAAATCCTTAATTTTAAAGTGCATTTTTTATTTATTTACCACTTATTAGGCAAAAACCATTGCCCCAAAAATTATGAGTAAATTACACAGTTAGCTGTTATAAAAAACATAACCCTAGTCTTCGTCTTAATTACTTTATCACTAAGGTTTTTGACTGACTACTTCTTTTGTAATAATAATCGATAGTAACTATTCACTTACATAATCAGATGGTACTGCCCGATTCGAACAAAGTCGTCAATTTTATCAATCACAAAATCTTCAAAGGCCTTTCTCCTGTTATAATTAAATATCAATATCACTATTCCTCCAGTTTCCTAAAAAAAAAACACTAGCAGTGTATCCTTTTAGATATGACGTAGCCCCGTATGGAAAGTTTTCTTTTCATTAAATTATATTGCTATTGAGACTTTTCAGGCGCAAATAACGCAAATGTGGCAATGGACGGAGACACGTAAGATCAACGAAATTGATCGAATATTTATATTAAGGGTAAGTAATGTCAAAACCATGTAGCGAGCACAGTAATTACCTGCCTACACTCACAAGTTTATCTCAGGTACAAATTTTATTTATCGGAGAATAGAATAACTTCCATATATTATCTATGTAGCTCCTACGATTCGTATTTATTTTCATAGGTCATCATTGTGCAACTGGAAGGTATGGTACTTACTCGAAAATAAAAATCTCATGTAAAAGTTCACACGCACAATTGCAAAGCTTACCAAACTCCATTTATATTTTTAATGACATTGAATTTCAAAAGAGCATACGTTTTGTATTAGCTTCTCGAATCATCTGTTTGAAAATAAAACAAACAATATATTTAACTTAAAAAATAAAATCACCTTAAGTTTTTGAACCCAAACAATAATAAGATACTGGCCTTTATAGAACTTAGTTGTTATTGAGCTCCGAAAAAAAGTTCACAAAAGTCGACAATTGACAAAGTACTTCATTATTTTTATTATGTTACTGTGAGTTTCCTTTGCTGAAACATTCATATAACAATTGTCATATTGTCATCTTACTTATTCTCTTCGAAAAAAACAAGGACGTCGGTATGATGTATACAGTGCGAATCAGTTACGTTACGTGCAGTAAACTTGTTCCCGATGCATGTTGGTTATGAAGCGTTATGTCACCAGTAGCTGTAACACACTCTTCTTGCACTTATTTATGTATTAAACACGGTTATGAAATTATTAGCAAGACCAACACGTGTAGTATAAATGCGTTTTAGTAAATGAAATTAAACGTACACTACAATCTTACTTCTTACTTACTTCTTGGATGAATGGATGTATGTTTGAAGGTATCTCCGAAACGGCTGAACGAATGTAGCAGAAATTTCGCATAGATGTAGAAAATAGTCTGGAAGAACATATAGGCTACTAATTAAGTTTTATTTTATTCCGCTCGGACGAAGCCGCAGGCGACAGCTAATAACAAATAAAATAAATAAAGTATTTAAAGTCATTTGCAATTATAAGTGATGTACCATATAATTACTTTTTAAATCTATATTTAAAGTATTCAAAAATTATTGTATGTATTATCATAAATCTAATTAACTTTGCTTAATTTAGTTATCCTAAAATAATTACAAATTAATAAGATAGACTAATTTCTTCTTTGAACTTCTTTGAATACTAATTTAAAGTTAATATTTAAATAACATTAATCACATAATTAAAACAAATTTAAAACACGTTGCTCCTCATTTTCCATACTTAGAAATGCGAAAAAGAAGACACGAACTCACTTGACATCAAACCCTGAAATAGTATTATATTAAGCCACTGAGAGAAACAATGTATTATTATTTTTTAACACTGAATATTTGCAAACTATCAAGTCATCCCAATTCGATATACACATTTCATTATGAAATTCTACAAACCCAACAATAAACTCGAATTAAATGTCGGTGTCAAGAGATTTGGTAAGGCAGTCGGTCTGTCGCAATGACTTCGCAAATCCATGGTAGGGGAAGTTTCGCATGCCCGCAATGTTGACTAACAAAACGATCTCAGAACGAAGTGTCTATTCAACAGCGTTCACATTCGTTACTTTATTTTTCTAAAACGAACTTTTTACTCAAAATTACATAAAGTTGCTAGTATTTTTTTTTACTTTCTTTTAACTTTTGTTAGTCTTTGGTTAAAATTTACATTTGACACAAATACAGATTGTTAAGAATAAATATAAAGAACGTATTAAAATAGAATCATGCACTTACCTAAAATTTTGATATGTGTTTGTGTTATAATTTTAAGCAATATACAAAGGACAAGGACAGCGGGAGAAATGGAGGATATACGTAAGATTTTACTGATATATTAACTAGTAAATGCATGTAATTATATTGCAGTTCCTATGGTTTTAAACGATCTAGGAATATTTAAATTATCAACTACTTGTGAGATTAACAAATCATTGTTAATTTTAAATGTCAACAGACACAATGTTGATTTATAAATTGATGACATGATCATCGAATTATACAAACAACAAAAACATATTCAGACATATAAGACATGATATAAAACATACTTAACGATATCTTATTATACATATATGTTTCACTAGTGAAAACGCAAGCTCAGTGTTACATTGTAATTGAAAAAAATGACTAAAGAAAATGTCACTGCAGCAGACTTTAAACTCTTGACTTTATTACACCATTTAGCCTTTAACTTATGTGAACATTTGTAGCGGTTACTTAATCATAGTTACTTAACTACATTTTGGTAACGAACATTAATTAACAATCTCTATGCAAAGCGCAGCATTCATAAAGCTATATTCGTATTGTTATAATTATAACATTGACCCGAGCGTTCTAAGTCGTACTTGAAATATATATCGTGACCCATTTTTTGTTAATGGCCTGCGAGCGATGACAAATGTGAAGTTCCTTAAAAACTACTTATTGAAAACTTTTAATTAAAGATATTTGCATATTTTTCATTACATTATTGGGATATCATGTTCTATATCAAAAGCTGGGAAACGAGCAAACGGCCCCCTTAATTTGCCGAAATAGCAGATGTGTTGCATACTTTTAGTCATGGAGGAGACACGCAAAAAAAGGATATTCCCCTTTCTATGCATCAAATCCACGTCCCCTTTCCATACTTTCCTTGTAAAAAAGGGCGCGTAGGAAAAGAGGACTAAAATTAGGCCACCAGAACGAACACTCATCGGACGAAACGCGGGATTACTTCCACTTGACGCCTGTCTTCTGTGTGGTCATGGCATTGCACCGGACAAGCCGGCCTTTTCGTGCAACATATATTTTAGTTGCTGGCGTCTACCACTGTTAAGTAATATCTTGATTGTTCGGTATATATAACGAAATCTTTTACGAATTAAACCGAGATTATTAATTTACATATACCACAAGAACACGTCACGAAGTTAAAGTACTGGTAACATATATCATTTATAAAAACAAGGAAAAATAAAATAAACACAATCTTGCTGGGAATTGAGCACGAAGTACTTGTAATGGAAAACTACACTTTGTTTAGAAGATTTATGATGTAATATTATTTTATTAATTTTATTTATTTTATTTCAAATAAGACTTAATCAAGCACCTCATTAGATATTGCTAAAAAAAACCTTGTGATTTTAATTTTAAGCATTCATCGAATTTATTTAAAAACTAGCGGACATCGACTTCGTCAACGCAGAATATAGAAAACCCCTATAATACGCCCCCATGCATCCGCTTTCTTTCCTGTTCAAGTCCCGTCAAAATCGGTCGAGCCTTTCAGAAGAATATCGGGACCAAACGCGGTTTTGCACACATTGATGACGTTTTAAAAATTAGGTTTCATACATCATGTGGACGAAATATATATATGTGTATAAATTTAAAAAAAAAAATTTCTACAAAGTAGCTAAGAGAATGTTGGCTATAAATAAATTACAGGAGAAAAGAAACATAACATATGTTTTTAGCTACACTATACCTCAACATAAGAACATGAAAGCATACATAATGTACTTAAAGTATAGAAAAGGTGAAGACACATCCAAATAAATTAAAAGAGAACATTTGATAGTATCATATACCAATCAATATATATTATATATCATATTGTTATTAACTATGTCGAAACACTACCATGTTAAGCAATGGTAAAGTTGATCAACTCATGGCAATAATTTTCTTACACCATCACATCAATATGAATTGTAGATAACCAATTATTACAAAAGCCATTAAAGATTTCATACATATTATTTTAAAATAAGTTTAGTTTTAAGTTTGTGTTTATGACATAAATAGCCGTAAACGACAGATTTTATTTTCGCTGTGTTTTCAAGCATTAAGTCGTTTTATGTATGTTTTTGCCCATTGTATATTGCCGTAACAAACATAACTACATTTTTATTGATTGTCTGCTAAGAAATTAAATGAACAAATTACAAAAATCAGGCATTTCATTACTCAAATTTGTTTTTCAGAACGAATATTTTCGCCGTGCCATAAATCAGCTCCCGATTTCGATCAATGCATAAAAAGGGCATTTAACAAACTAAAGCCGTACTTCAAAAGAGGTAAGATATACTATGAATAAAAAAGATGATTGGTTTGCCTGTAGGCAGGGCCGGCGTTAGGCTATGGCGCGATTGGACACCTGCCCATATTGCTGAACAGAATGAAACTCGACATATCTGCAAATTACAGTCTCAAATAACCCTACTATAAATGAACTACCCCTACCCCTAAATGCATAAAAAAAGAAAGAGGGCACCGTAGAAATCTTGCCCTGTGTGCTAGTTAAGCTGAAGTCGTTACCATCTGTATCTGCATGAGACATTGGCCATATATCAAAATAGAAAATTATGAGCCATGATTCGAATACTATTTTTCAATAAGTGCACGTTGTCAACTGGAAACTTGATAATTTCAGGAATACCAGCTCTGGGCGTGGCACCATTCGACCCTCATTTTGCCGAGGAAGTGCGCCAGACGCGCTCCGTCGGCGGCCTCGGGTACAAGCTCACGCTGCGCAACGTCTACGAGAGAGGATGGTCCCAGTCTACAGTCACTAAATACAAGTTAGTATTTCTTTATAAATGAAAATCCATCAGTATAGAATCACTTATCTATCTTTACAGTATAAGTGAGATTAGTCTCATTTTATATAATATATAGTGTCATTCAGTTAATATCCTTGTCACTTTATATATCTGGTTATCGCGCAGTATATAATACTTACTAAATCAGCCGTGGTCACTTATTTCAATTGACTTTGTTATCATATAAAGGAACTGTATAACTGTATTTTTTTTCAGAACAGATTGGGTGAATGATCGTATCATCTACTCTCAATATTTTCCTGAGAAATGGTTGGTTGGAGACTACGAATTTCAAGTAAGTTAATGTTAAATTATGGTTGCATTAGATAAATACAAGTCGAAAATAACACTGTATTCCGCGAAACTTGAAAATCTAATTTACGAAATAAAAATCCAGCAATCCCTTGACAGATAGCTTCTCATTGTTAAATTAGATTAGATCTTAAACTAAATATTCCAATATAATGCTTATCTGAAGAAAGTTGCACAATCTATATAATACGAAACTTCGAAAAATCTGATGTATGTGTTGCAACTACCACCTGTTGAAAGTCGAATCCATACTCTTACTGTTACGACCACCAGAAACAGTGTCAAGGTAAACATCTGTATGAAATTAAACATAATTCTCGACTAAGCATATATTTTACTTTAAATATTAAAAAAAATCATTTAGCGCCAAAGCTAAAAGCAACTTGACGAAATGCATCAATAAAATGTAACATAGTTAAATATATTATATAAAATATTATTCGTCTTTTATTTCTCAAAACATGGTATATTATTATATTATTTTTCGTAGGGCGATGCCTTCGGATTGGGAGTGATGCGGTCTGGGCGATGGAACCTCACGCTGCGCGACTACTCACAGACGACGCGCATCAAACGGGACGGCAGCGGCGTCGACGTGCACGTTGAGGTCGACCACATCGGCGACATGGATATACACGTCGGCAATCTACTGCGCGGCAGAAGCATTCTTGGTAAATTTACCCGTCTTTCTAGTTTCAAATATTGTAAGTGGCGTTCCTTCGTAAAGTTATTGGAGCTCCCTTCTATATTATCTAACAGAAATTATGTCTCAAGGGATGGCCACCCTTTCCTTCAGCATTTAATAATCTATATCTTCGATAATTAGTGATTACATTTGTCAATGTGTAATTACGCATAATAACACACATTATGCTGTGTAATTTCAGAACAAATGCTTGACCGCATGATAAATCTGACCTGGAAGCCAGGCTTCGCGGTGATCAGGCCGCTGATCAACGACCTCGTGAGCACCGCCTTCACAGACATATGGAGCAAATCTTTCAGAGACTTTCCTATTGACGCCTTTATACAAAATTGATACACGTTTTGGTTTGTTTTGTACTTTTGTATAGTAGTTATAAGATTGATTATTATATTAAGTTAGATCGGCTATAATGGTGTGAGTCAACTTCAGAACATTGGGGAAACAAGAGACATCAGACCGTTAACCAAAGTTTGCACTAATCTAAATGTCAGCGGTTTGACACCACTGCAGTCTATGTTTATAGCATAAACATCCCCATATTAATTTAGCGTGTATTGTTATTTAATTTAAAGTTAATTTTGTTGTTTTTATAAAACTTTACATACAAAATGCACTTAATGTTTACAATTGAAGTAATAAACTAGTCCCAGATATTTTATAAGCACTATTTGTTTTAATTTCCCAGGACTGTTCACATATCTCCATATTTTAGCTCATCCATTGAAAAATTAAGAAGTCGTAGCCGCAACTACAAATGTAAGGAAATAAAAGACAATAATAAATTACATATCTCAATATTATATTTATTAAAAAATATAACCTAACTATATATATGACTTTATATTTAAATTCAATCAACAAATAACTCGCACGTTCATCGAATGTGGAATAATCAACCTCAGTCTTCCAACACAAATCAATACTAACCAAACAGTTCCCGCGCCAACAACAACTGGCGCAACATCCTCCACAGAGCATCACTCACGCCATAAATACATTATATCATAACATTGCACCTTCACTTTATATTCACATTAAAATAAACCAGAAAACTTATTATATAAAAAAACAGCATCTCATAAATTTCTCAATTACGTATCCAATTAGTCTGCATTTTATTTTCAAACCGAAACAAAAATTTATGTACAACGTTTGTAAGCGAATTGAATTGAAAATAAGTACATGTACATGAATAATGAATTGATGTAATAATTTACGATTGAAGATATCCCACGTCAGACTTCAAGCGAGGCGAAACAACGAGTCAAAGTTTGTACTGAAGCAAACAGCATTAAACCCGCGCACGACACAACACGTCGAGTCGACCAACTAGGACATATTGTCTGAATTAACGTGCACTATATTAGGACCCTGTGGACCGTCGGGGCGACGCACGTCACTGCACCGACTAAAATCGTTGTAAATTTTATTTATACCATTACTCGGCTCTGGCAGCTCACTTCAAACTCATAAGGTGTTAAATTCATACCGAAAAGTCTTGCTGAAATCACTCAAAAACGATAAAATCACTGCAATAACACATTAATATCGCTTGCAACTCACGCTTTTGTGAATGGAGTAACCTCAGCAAAGGACTGTTTGTTGAAGTGAACTGTGGTATTAAAATTACATGCTATGAATAAGCGTAACAATATGAGGCTTTGTCTTAACATTTTACATAGTATTCGCTTTAGGATCCGATTTACATGTATATTTGTCATTAGTAAAAAAGAGCAGTCAAGTATTGTAATAAGTCGAGCTCGCAGCTTCTGTGTCAATATATGTCGGCTCTATTTAGTCTTACCGTTTGGTATTATAAGAGCCCATAGTAGTCATATAAATAAGCGTAATAGTTTTCAATAACCTAAATTCCGACGTAAACGGCGATATCTTTATAATTTACTTAACAATTTTAAGATTTTACTTTGAACTATGTTTCTGAATACGTAATTTGAGTCGAGAGTTAAAACAAGATAAAATAGATTGTAATATGACTACTCTGGACGCTTACATCTTATATTCAATTACAGATACAAAAAAGTTGCAAATAATTTCAAAGGTTTATATACATTGGCTAGATAATGTACCAAAAGTATGAGGAGTCGCAAGTAATTACAATATGACGAAAAAAAATCCGGAAAGAAAAGAATATAAAGTAAAATACAAATTGCATCTGATCGTAATACAATAAATATCCTAAAACTAAATTACGAGAATTTTTTCTTTAATTTGTACTCCCTTCTCTCGTACGTTTGGCCCCAGACATAGTGTTATTAAACAATACAATTTAAAATTAATCACTTGAAGAGCGTATGCGCAAAATAATAATACATACATCAATATAGAAAACATTACAAGATGACGAAACAACGTTGTAGCCGTAACACTTTTATTTGGAGAGGAAACCAAAAAAAAAAGATAGAAATCATCTAACTCCACAAAAACAAGTTCCCAACAAGAGCTAAACTCAAACAAAATTTTACTACCTACCGTTTGCATTACACAAAAACAAAATCAAAATAACATAAAATTGAGAAGCTCAAAATAACTCTTCTGATATTCAAGTAAAATTTCTCATAAAATTCATTGTATCAAAACTTCATTTCATAGGAAATACTTTTAGCATTAATGCAAAGTTGATAAAAATACTCAATGATTTTAATAGTTGCAGAGCGTCTGACGGGATTTTTTATCATTACAATAGTACAAACAGAACATGTTCGTGAGTCGATTAAACACTAAGATTGCGCGTAACCCAAGTAAATACAAAGAAATAGTAAAATTAGTCCAATGTTTAAAAAGATGTACAAATTATTTATGTTGTTACCGGTTCCACCTAAACACACCCGCGCCTGACCCGTATCTCAAACTGCTCCCACGTGCATTTAAATTAACACTATCAATAAATTTATTTTGATATGCTCTTATTTATAATGTTCTTTTTACAATGAAATTTGTGCTGTACAATGTGAGAGATGGGGCGTGCGGGGGCGAGGCTGCGGCGCGCGGGGCCTCGCGGTAATGTACTTACATTACGGCACGGACACACTGCAAGACGGTTTCTCTTTGCACTTTGTACTTCAACACGTTATCTACGGAAATATTGTAAAAATAGAGGCCGCTGGAGCGCCGCATCCTTGCATTCCGAATCCCCGCCTCGCTACATGCTATTTACAATGTCAAAACGAACTAATAAAAGCCTAAGTTAACACCAAATTAGGGATCAAGTTTAACAATCACACATCAAAGTCGCGATCGATCAAACATCACAACATCGATACCACAACCGACATCAACCAGTCACTAGCAAATAACAAATTAAGTTTATTCAAAATACAATCACCCTAACATTTTTAATTAAAAAATCCAATAATAGTTTACTTGTGGTAGTGTACCTTAAAATCTCGATAATCCCGAACAGTATCGATCGATTAATCGTTCGATGATATTTGGCAAACGATTTAATTTAAAGACAAGCATAATGTGGCCACGTTGTAGAAATCTAAACAAATACAATTATTTAGTCTCAAAAAGAGGCTGCATTGGAAGGAAAAGGTATATCTTCATATGAAGTCATTTTTGCAACGAACTGTAAGGCATTTATTAGTCTTAAAACCCACATATTTAGATCTAAAACTCTAATAAAACGAAATAACAACGAAGCCACAATGCGCTTGGTATTTAATCTGGGCCATTGAAATAAAGAAATGTGTACCATGTACTTATCTGAGGTGCTTCTCGTTACTTTCTGAACGGTATACAAGATTTAAGGTACGTAAGGTAGGGTAGAAATTCTATGGAGTCAACAGAAAACTGTGGAGCACTATGAGCTAGACTTTACAAGTAAAATCGAAGGCCGCTAAGATATCACCGTTCATTACTTCGTAGTATGTACAATGGTGGCCGCGCCCGGACTTTGAGCGGACTATCTACAATGGTCGCGGCTCACCTCACGCCGCCGCACACTGCGCCCGACAGGAACAGATTTAGCCAATCTACATTTATTGCCACACACAGTTCAACATTTCATCATTGCATTTTTTAATACACAACAAATTTATATCTTCTGCTACTATTTTTAGTAGTTTGTTGGTGTTTTTAGTAATAGTTTAAAGTATCTTTCATAGCTATGTCAATTTCTGTCAGCTATTCGTGAAAAAATATATGTGAACTTATTAGTTCTTTCGAAATGCGCCAAAATTTCGAAAATGTTGAAATCTGTTTTTTTAACTACTTACATAGGAATCATGTTTTCTTACAAAATTATACATTTTATATACATTATAAATTTTCCTGAGCAAACCCCTTGTTCCAGATTTCGTGAATTTATCGAAAATATCAAGTAGGAATAATAAGAGGCAGTACAAAGAAAACATATACCAAAAGCCTTGCTTTTGGAATCTAGATGGTAGTTAGCACAAAACTATATATTTACAATCCTAATTTATCGTTTGAACTAAAACAATGTCTAAGAAAACTATTTGATAGAACTCATTTTCTAGTCGTTAGCAAATAAAATAGAGAAAGATATACAAAATTAGTTATAAGAAAATTAAAAATATTTCTTCTAGAACTTTTTTTAAGAGCAAAATTTTTGAGAAACAGAAGAAATAAATCATCAGTACTTTAACAAATTTGAATTTAAATGTGAGGTGCATTTTATGACCAATGTTTAATGTATCCTTTATACAAAAAACAATACAATTCTTACGCATATTTACTAATAATTCGTAAAAAATACATATTTCCCATTGAATATACAAAATCGTATAAAACTCTAATATTGTATTTCTCCATATAAATATACAAAACGTATTATTTTTCTCTATTGATAATTGCTATCTGTTCTCCTTTTTATATATCATAATCGAAAAGTCTAGAAAGTTTAAAATTTATGTATTTTTATGTTCGAAAAAGTACAAATGTGGTCGAACTACAATCTGACATTTGTTTTTATGCAAACAAATTATTATCTGCATGGATTTTACGGCTATAGAAATATATGACTTAAAAAATGAGTAGACTCAACTACTCAGGAGCTAGAGCACAATCAAGATCGATACGAAACTGAAATTAAATTAAAAAAAATAAATGTAACCGACGAGCATTTTCGTAGATGTTTAGACTACATCTGAAGGCTGTATAATCTCCTAAGTCACTTCGTTGTTTTCATATACCTCAAGTTATTCATAGGTATTTATTCTTACTAATCCTTATTTCCTTACTAACATTATAAATGCGAAAGTGAACCAATTTAAATGAAATTTGGTACACAGATAGTGTAGAGCCTGGGAAAGGATATATATTGCTTGTTAACGCAAAAACAGGGTTGTAAGGGGGGGTTGTAAGGGGGCGTTGGAAATTTGTATGGAGGTTGTCATCATTTCTACAGATAGAAGCTTGAATTTTTTAGGCCGTGAATATGATGTAAATAAATATGACATTCAATGTTTACAAAAATTTTACCCTCAAGGGTGGCAAATATGAAATACGGGATGAAAGTTTGTATTAGAATATGTGAAGTTTATGTGATTGTTTTGTGAGTTTAATATGTTTTGTCCTGATGAATTTTAACTGTTAGTAAAATAGATAGGCTAAATAATTAAAATGCTACCCAAAGATAGTATTTCACGCGGACGAAGTCACGGACACAGCTAGTTTTAAATAAACGTTATTAAGAATATAAAAGATGTTCTAGGAATAGCACATCACGTATGACTACCTCTCCTGCGTTTATCAGATTGTGTACAAATACCAACAAAACTGGTCAATAAACAAGTTTTTGTAGTATCGAAACATTAATAATGTAGGTTGCCACAATTTACATAGTTACTAAATCACGCGTCAGATCTTGCGCCTTTTACATTCAAAAAATGTACACATTTGAATTCTATACGAAGGTAAACAAGCTATCTGGCTACTCAAACTTATGTTATTGTACTGTGAATAATTTAGTTTAGTACTAATAATACAAGACAACAAATTAGGATCGAAATAAAATAGTTTTAAAATAGAGAAAAAAAAGCGATGTCACATTTGTTACATTTCGCGGTTACGATATTAATACGCAATGATAACTTTCAAAATCGCCTTAAATATTTACGTTAAAAACCAGACATCAAATTAAATTAGAACATTTCTGAATCGGACAAATGAAAGGTGGACAAAGATGAGAGATAATTCAAATGATTTCCTTCCGACCCGACATCGGTTGCGCATTTCAAACGCCGTACCTTTTCCATACTTCTATTAGGTCCCGCCTTCAAATAAGCAGTCCACACAGCACCATACTACCGACGACACAAGAGTTCCCAACTAGAAACTCAAAGTCGAACAGTTCTGAGTACGGAACTCGAAATCGTTCCATGAGTATCCAACTAAAACTCGAAGTCGAACAGGTCCGAGAGCCCCTCGCCGTGGTCGAGGCAGAAGCCGTAGTCTGTGCCCGACATCGGCGGCTCCAGCGCCAGGAACGGTTCCAGGGGCTCTGAAAACCAAGTGGTTAACATTTCACTATTTTATTTTCACTTTGTACTTGTACTATTAAAAAAGACAACATATCTGAAAACAAAACATACAGAAGAATTGACAGCAACCTTTTTCGTTAAAATTTATAAATTATTTTCTAAAATTGTCTATATTTTTAAAAAAAATCATATTAAATTTAATATTTGGTCATATTAAAATAAACCTACGGTAGCACAATTTAACAACAATAAGACAAGTTATACAAAAATTACAAACAATTTTTTTGGAACATGGCACAAATAAATATCCTAACTATAAATTATAATTAAAAGTTAAACATCAAATACATACACAATTTAGAAACATGAGCTATTTACAACTTTCTGTCGTAAATTTGACTATCTATACATAACAGACGCGCTCAGAACAGAAGCGACTTCATAGGCAAAGCATTATATTACATCACAAGAAGCAACATTTGGCAGCGTTAACCTCAATAACCAAGTGAATTGTGAATTCATAAAAAATTATTTAACATACAAATTAAATTTAAATATCCTCTAAATATCGCATCTCAAAACATTGATATGTTACAAATATTACTACAACTTGATACAACATAGAAAATGTGAGAATAACATCAATGATTGTGATACGGTAGTGAGAAGATATTTTAAGATGGACAACAAGAAGACAGAACTCTGTCAGTAGTGCAGACACTGTTAAAATGAGGGCGTTGTTACGTTGTCGATGGCTTGTTACGGTGGTATTAGTAGATGAGTTGGCTGTTAGTGGGACCTGCCGTGAGCTGAATCCCATGGTGCTACACGCGCGCACTGGAGCCGCACGGGAGACAGCTCGCGGCACGGCCCCTCCCGCGCTCCCGCACGCCCCGCCCCC